AGAACAACCCCAGGTACCAGCACAGGCTGGGCCTGACCTGCTGAGGAGCAGCTCTGCAGAGAAGGATCTGGGGGTCCTGAGGGACAGCAAACTGTCCMTGAGCCAGCAGAGTGTCCTGGTRGCCAAGAAGGCCAATGGWGTCCTGGGGGGCATTAGGAAGAGCATTCCAGCAGGTCATGGAAGGTGATCYTGCCCCTCCACTCAGCCCTGGTGAGGCCTCACCTGGAGTGCCATGTCCAGTTCTGGGCTCCTCAGGACGAGAGAGCCATGGAGCTCMTGGAGTGGGTCCAGTGGAGAGTTTGAGGGTGAGCAGGGAACTGGAGCACCCTACTAAAGAGGAAAGGCTGAGAAAGCTGGGCCTGTTTATCCTGGAGAAGACACAACAGAGAGGGAATCTTAGCAAACGCCTTAAGGGCAAATGTTAGGAGTCAGGAGGTCAGGGCCAGACTATTTCCAGCGGTGCCCRATGGCACAACAAGAAGCAAGGGGCACTAACTGAAATACAGGAATTTCCACCTGAACATGAGAAATAACTTCTTTACTGTGAGGGTGACAGAGTACAGGAGCAGAGTGTCCAGAGAGGCTGGGWAGTCCAAAGCTRCCTGGATGCTMTCCTGTGTCACCTGCCCTAGRTGAACTTGCTTGAACAGAGGGATTAGATGATCTCCGGTGATCCCTTCCAATCCCAACTATTCTGTGCCTCCATAATACCTAGCTATGTTAAAAATACAATATTGAAAACCTCATACTCCCTTGGAAATCCCAAATCTCTTTTTTTAACTAGATTTTATTTGATTCTGGAACATGTGTGAAGTTGGCCTTGACTTCTATTTGRAATACTTCTCTCATGAAGTTAATAAGACCTTTCTGTACTTAGCATCATAAATCTGATTCGAGTCTTTCTGTCCCCATCAGATAAAGGAGAATTTGAAGGTTTTGTGATTGGCCTTTGCTTCAGCATGGTACTCATTCTGATTTTTGCACCTCTCACTTGCTCTCTAGTGCTTAAAAGGTAAGAACAGAATGTTGGCTGAAGTTGTAAGCAGCACTCCTGTTTTGCTTAGCTCTGAGTTTCATAGCACTGGGCCTTTTTTGTCATTAAAGGCAACACAACTCAAAAAACATACAACACAAAGGCCCCCCACATTCATTTCACAGTGGGAGCAATTACAAGCTGCTACAAGCTGACTAAAATAGTAAAAAGAATTTGTCAAAAAGATATAATTGTTAGCTTTTGATTCCATTCTCTGACTACCTCCGTTAACAAGCACACTTAGAAAGAGCCAGGAGAGTGGGAAATATGCTATATACATAACAATTATATTAGATTATCCATGAATTTGATTATTTTTATATAGGATGTTTCTTGCAAATGCATTTGGATTTTGAATGTATAAAGTATATATAGAAGCCCATAAGGAGTGGAGTAATATATGAATGAGTAGGAACAAGACAGAATAACAAGGATGCCTGTAAGATCCTCAAGTTTTAGGATAAATGATTTTCTGCAATTATTAAGTATTCCCCCCACATATTAATTTGAGGTACAATATCAGGTGCACACACTACCACAAAAAGAAAATTGTCTGCATAATAATGGCTTCTGATTAATTTTCTGACAAACTTAATTGCACATAACCACTCATCTGACTATTTGGTGTCCTAGAACACTACCTTCTCTTTTATTCCTTTACAAAAAGCACCAGCTTCAGAAGCTGAAAGCACAACTGCTAAAGGACAGATGGCTTGGAAGCCACACAGCATGAGATATCCTGCTTTAGCTTAACTCCTGTCCTTGCCACTGAGGAACAGACACCACTCTCCACGTGAAGCCTCCTGTACTCTCCCCTTTTCAGATTGTACTTTCAGTTGCTCTGCATCTGATATAGCAGTTTTGACAAGAACTTCTGAGACCTACACAGAAGCTTTGACCTAGATTAAAACTTCATTGTGTTAAACATAAGACCACACTTCATTGTCTGGGCCCAGCAGGAAAGAACAGGGGAAAAAAACCTGCAAAACAGCTAGGCAGCACATGGGAGCCCACTGTAGCACTACAAAATAGTGCTTAAATTTATAAATTTGTAGTAATATTGATCACTTTGAACTGAGATGAAGTGATGCCCTCATCCCAAGTGCCTTCTTGATTTGTAAGAAAGGATCCACCAGCCAGCCAAACATCCATCTTCACAGGATCAGCAAGAAGATTCAGTAACTTTACAGGCACAGACTTCACCTCCAGCCACAAGCAGAGGCAGAGTATCCTAAAGCTAATGAAGTCTAGATTTATTTTCATAACTGGAAAACATTGAAGCCAACACTAAGGCGGAGTGATGGTCTGCTTAAACCCCCAACCTCTCTTACAGCTGTGTGGAGGCTCTTCTTATGGACATGAGATGCTGTAGGTAATAGATCCCAGGAGGAGCCCAACTCAAAACAATCAGACTGAGCAGGAACTGTGTTGCCCCCTTAGAACTTCTTCCAGATCACCAGTGCCTTGCACATGGGCTGAATGCAGCAGTATCTTGCTCTTTATTTTTAAGGAAAAGGAAACTTCTAAGTGGAAGCCCAGGAGCAAGTACTTACTGAAACAAACTTCCTGCATATCCCAAAGGCCTCAAGGAATATGGAGGTTTTGTGGAAATGATAAYAAATTAGGATTAGACAGTGATTAAATGTATAGAAAGAGGCATTACCAGCACTTTCACAGCTCCTCTGTCATTAAACAAATAAGCTAATTATCATTAACTCGGCATTTCAATGTAGACTACCAAGTATGACCTTCAGCTTTTAATTAACTTTATGCTTAAAAGTCTCTGTAAAACACTTTTTTTTGGTGGTCACAAAAATGCCCATATGTTATGTATGAATGGTAATTAATTTAAATGCATAGGAAATGTTGGCCATTTAAGCTGAAAGTAAATATAAATTGTTTCTTTACAGGCTGAAAATATCATACTGGCCCAGTGTACCAAGCCCAACAAACAGCAGTGCACTCCAAGATATGGCAAGTACTCTTCTGACAATATGAAAAAATACACAGGGGAGACTTTTGATCAATCTATAATGACAGTTATTCRTCCTTTCATGCTTCACTCTAGAAAATGTCTAGCATCAACAGCTGGGAAGGCAGAATAATATTCAAAATATAGGATGGGGATGGTTGTTATTTAGGCAGAGGCTGTAAACACTTTTAATAAAGATCTCAGACATTTTTGGGTAAATTATAGAGCATTTTAAAATACATGGTTCTTAAAAGAAAAATCAAAGCTAAATGGGGTAGATAGAATCTAAAAAGAGAAATTCAGTTTTTATATCCAGTCAGTTTTCACCAACTCAAACTGATTATTAAGTGCAAGTTATTCAAAATACAAAGTAATGAATTGTGGCCTAAATCCAGTGAAGTCTCAGGACAGAGGCCGTGTCACATRATGTTTTCTGAAGTCTGCTCCTCACTCCTCAGTACTTGCCTCCAAAGCAATCCAGGGGCTCTGGCTGGCAGCTGGAAGTTGCCTGAGGAGCTCCTACTGGTCAACAGGCACCAAGGATCAGCAGCATGCTSAAATCTCGCCCACAGTTTTCCTATATGCCTTGATCAAGTATACCTGAATTTCAGCACTAAAGAAGCAGAGAAATAAGCTGTTAGAAGAAAATCAAATATTAGAAGCAGCTGTGGAAACCCCTTTATCCACTTTTGCCCATTAGTAGATTTATTTGTGTCTTCCCCTTCTTGCCTTCCCTCWTTTAATCAGATTTCTGCTGTAGTTTTAGGGACATCTGATACTAAAAGTTCTCCTTTTAGAACACCTAAGTTTATCTATTGAGTCACAGACCACCTGCCATTGTTCCACCAGGAACTAGTACTGCTTTCCTTTGTAAATCTCTTTTTCTGGAAGACCTGAATTTAATTTGGCACTTGTCAATTTAGTAGTTTCTCTTGTGAGCTTTAACAAGCAGACTTGTATTGAGTCAAACTTCAGGCTTTGGCTAGTTGGTATCTACAAGCCAGACACTGGCCAAAACTGGGATGCATAGTGAAGTAATCAGAAACAAAATTTCAGAAGACACTGATAGTCTGCTGATAATCAAAAATTTTGCTGAAGATCAGCATTGCTTCCTGGGACAAAGCAAGTATGGTTTAGATGACTTCCTTAGTCGCTTTCTTTCATTCTTCCACCTAAATGTAGATAAAGGAGTGATGAGTTCAGAACTAGTATCAGGTAGACATTTTGCCATGAAGAATTGCAAGTGAAATACACTGAGTGAGGCTGCATGCTTCAGAAAGGGCAAATAGGTTCTATGATCCACAGTCCCAGTTTGACATAAAATGTTTAAAAGCAAAATTTGAATGAATTTAAAAGGCCTTTAACTTTTCCTGCAGAGGTAAAGCAACTGTCAAAGAAAATGATAGCTGTGTTAACCATGCCTAGTAGGTAATACTTAATGTTGATAACACTTCAGACACAGAAATACCAGATATCAGATAATGGTTTGGGAGAAAGCAGAAAAAAACACTATGTCAGGATATAGTACAATAAATAGTTTACCAGGTATATTGTCTGGAASTAATTTGGTATTCTGAACACTTGATGAGCTGTGGAGAAAGGTAATYCCCAAACAGGCAGTGCAAAACAGAGGCAGGGAACAGATTTTCCTATATTTTTTACATTTATTTGATTTGTAGTTGTTTCAAGATTGAACTGTACCAGTTTAGTTGAACAACATAGCAGCTCTGGACAAAATCACAAATATAGGCCAGGTAGGCAGCAAGATGACTTGTTCYCCAGACAGAGGATTATTTAACAAGATGTAAGTCAATGGGACGGAGTAGCAGAAGAAAATGGAGGCACCCTCATTACAGAGACCAGGAAAATGAACTATGGAGATCTAAAATGTCTGACAGTCACTCATTCAGTTTCCTGTTCTTTGCATATAGGCAAGATCCTTCAAAGCTGCTTCCTCTTCTTCTTCACCTTTCAGTGCCTCTTTCAGACAGAAGCCCAGAATATGTTGTTTAAAAAAGAACTCTATGATCGTCAAGCCTAATCATTAACCAGCACCACTACATTCACCACTAATCCATGTCCCCAGGTGGCACATGTAGACTTTTTCAGAACACCTTCAGGGATGGTGAATCCACCACCTCCCTGGACAGCCTGACCACTTTTTTAGAGAAGAAATTCTTCCGATTATCCAGTCTGAACCTTCTCTGGTGCAACTTGAGGCCATTTCTTCTCATCCTGTCACTTGTTATCTGGGAAAAGAGGCAACCTCCCACCTGGCTACAGCCTCCTTTCGGGCAGATGTAGGGAGTGATGCCATTTCCCCACAGGGTCCTTTTTTCCAGGCTGAACACTCCCTCAGCTGCTCCTCACAGGAGTTGTGCTCCAGACCCTTCCCCAGGTCTGTTGCCCTTCTCTGGATGTGCTCCAGCACCAGAATGACTCTCCTGAACTGAGGGACCCAAAACTGAACACACAATCCCTGCCCTGCTCCTGCTGGCCACACCATTGCTGATCCAGGCCAGGATGCCATTGGCCTTCTTGGCCACCTGGGCACACCCTGGCTCATGTTCAGCCGCTGTCACCAGCACCCCCAGGTCCTTTTCCTGTGGGCAGCTTTCCAGCCACTCTGCCCCAGCCTGTGGCACYGCCTGGGGTTGTTGTGACCCCAGGGCAGGACCCGGCCCTGGTTCTTGTTGAACCTCACACCCTTGGCCTTGGCCCATGATCCAGCCTGGCCAGATCCCTCTGCAGAGCCTTCCTGCCCTCCAGCAGATCAGCTCCCACCCAGCTCGGTGTCACCCACAAACTGACTGAGGGTGCACTCGATCCCCTTGTCCAGGTCACTGATGGAGTCATTAAACAGAACTGCCCCCAGTACTGAGCCCTGGGGAACAGCACTGGTGAGTGCCCACCAGCTGCATGGAACTCCACTCATCACCACTCTGGGCCCAGCCATCCGGGCAGTTTTTACCTGGTGAAGAGTGCACCTATCCAAACCACAAGCAGCCTGTTTATCCAGGAGGATTCTGGCTTTACTGAAGTCCAAATAGACATAAAACCTATTTTAGATTTGGCAGTGCTGGAATTTGGACTGCTCTTCTTAAAAAAATATTGTAAGGAAGGTACATATCACACAGGTCTTTATTCAAAACAAGGCAGAAGTTAACCATGCAATCGTGTCTACTCATCCCATCACAAGAGAAAAATTGAAATATTTTATGTAGTGCTGCTGAGATTTCAAAGAACAGCATTCTCATTTCCAGTCAGATTACAAATCGTTATAAGAAATAAAATAAAAAAAAACAATATACACCTACTTATTTCTTGCATAAGAACCATAACAATTTAAACAAATTTASAGCAAGTGGAGAGGTTGGGGGGAGGAGGAAGGGAAAAATAGCTACACCAGCTTGCCCATAATTTAAAAAACATTATTGCAAATGTGGGCAAACCCAGAACAATCTAAGTGGAAAATAAGGAAGCTTGGTTTTACCAACTGTTCTCCCATTAACCCCCCAGAATTTGCAAAAACTTGTTAACTCCAGGTATGCTTAGATCACAACATAGCATTAAGTTTCAAAACAAACTGCTTGCAGCAGCTGACAGCTTAATCTTGTCTGGCTGCTGTTCAAGCTGCTGCCTTTTTATAGTAACATACTTGTTAAATTTTTGAAAGCTGTTTTTCTCAGAACAGCACATCATGAGCCTTACATTTTATCATTGCTACCTTTGGTCCCAAGTACACMTAAAAGAAAGAAAAACTTTGCTTAAATGTTATGGGACAGAAGAAGATGGTCCTCTAAATTAGGTAAGTAAGTATTTTCATTCAAAGATGASATTAAATAGATTAATTAGCATATTACTCTTTCTCTTTGCTTTGTCTCACAGACTAATTGGAAACCTGTTTCAAGGTCACTGCTTCAGRCTCTGTCAGACAATGACACCACCAGCCTTTTTGTCATAGAGCACGAGTTGAAGGCTCCTCTGACTTTAGACCTTTTCACAGATGGTGAAGACAGCCAGCATGACACTTGCAGGTTGGAAAAACCTAGCAATGACACAGACATAAGCCTGAGGCATGAGGAAATCCCTGCAGAAGCAGTTACAAGTGAAGAAGACATCATTTCTACTGAAGTACCGCTCTTGAGTGACTATGCCAGCATGGAGGTCAGCCAGAAAGCCCTGATGGGTCTGGCAGTGAGCATGCCTGAGAGAGCTGCTCATCCTCATCTGGACATGGAACTGAGCAGCAAGCCAGCACAAACTGTGCATAAGCTTTTGTTTGCTTCCCAGGACTACCTCAAACAAAGCCAGGTAGTAGTTTTGTCATCTGGACCAACTTTAATGAAGCAAGTCAATTAAAACTGAAGCATCTTCATAATTTTCCTTACCATAAAACCAAGTTCTAAAATGTTGGTGGAGCCACAAGGACCATATGGAACAGTGAGCTTGTGATAATCTYCACTACAAAAGACTCCTTGGTGAAATAGATCGATTATTCAATTAGATTAGATCATCACAATCATTTTGTTGAAAGTCCTACCATCTTCACAGAGGCAAAACTTTCAGAGAATTATATGAGAAATCCTTCAAGATACCTCTTGCTTGGTATTTTGTCCCAGGGCACTCAGGATCCATTCAAGGCTTCCAATCTAAGCACAATGCCATTGTAGATATCAGGAAAATTCTTTACTCACTACGACCAGCTTAAGATCTTGTTTTCAGATCTCAGAAGCTCTTCAGCAAAAAAAAAAAAATTCAGCAGAAGTACCTACTACTCCAAAGAAGCTCTCCAGYTGGTCAAAGCTGGCCAAAGAAATTAGTGCAAATCTTTGATAGGAATCAAAAATTCTCTTTATTGATCTAGGTGAGGCACAATTAAGTGCTTTACACCCTAGAACTTTGCAGCTTTTGTCATTGCAGATAAATAATGCTGTGTAAGTGAAGACCATAATAAGTTTCATTAACAGTATTGGAGTTACTTGCATTAAATTAAGGCTRTTTCCTCCTATAATTCCCTACACATTCAGAAAAACCCATCCATGTTTTGTGATGAGGTGTTGCTGCAGATACGTTTTCCCACTGCATGCCATGACAATAAGCGTTAAACAGACTTCAGGAGCTGAACAGATAGTTCACTTAGTCACTGCTCCAAGGATTGCATGGAAGGGAGCCACTGGAATACAGGGGATGAAAGGRTGCTCCTCAAGATGCTCTAGGCAGCTCTGTCATGGATCTCCACAACGCAGGGAGTCGGAACCCTTTTCTGGCTAACAAGGATTTCTCAGTCATGAACTCTGCAGGTATTAATGGCCCGCACTTATTGTAAAAAAACCCAATTTATTGTTGTTTCCTYGATTTTCAAGAGCATTTCATTAAAATTGCTTTGTGGAGAAATAAATTGATGAACTGCATCCTAAGCATCAGATTTCCCTAGATGGACACTTTAAAAAATTCTCTCATTACAAGTGAAGGACGATTTACATTCTCAYTAATATTTCCACTCATACTAGGCATTATGAGTTATAGAGCAGCCATGCTTGCAAAAACTCATAGAAATTCCATAACCCCCCTTCACTGATTTAGTGAGAACCCTTAACAAAATCTGTTTTATTCTCTTTCCTTATTTATATTCACTCTCTCTTTAACTACATGTCTCTATATCTGATAAGACTGGCAGGAACAATCCTGTATTTCACTGTAGGTTATGCACTGTAGGTTATACTGTTTTTTTTCTTAGCACCTCAAATTCATTGTTCTCCCTCAAAGCAATGTGCACACATGGTTGCTAAATTTTGTAATTGAAACAAAGGGCAAGAGGAACACTCCCCAGAGACCACACAAGTTTGGAGAGTCCTTTAAATATCTTCCTTCTTTTTAAAAATTTTGTAACTTTACCTGTTTTGAATTTAAGAGAATGCAAATGATCCTACAGTTAGTGGAACCATTGTTCCTTGTAACATCTAGTAGTTGTGTTGAAATGAAAAGCTGTTATAGGCAATGAAGTCTTGATATATAATCACCATCAAACAGTCATAATTTGTCCATTTCCAAAATGTAAGAATTATCCATGCTCCTTGCTTATAGTACTTTTTTCATTTCTGGTCAGATAAACTTATTTTACTGGTGCAATTGGTACCTTTGATAGCTTTACAGTAAGCCCTGAATCCTGTAAACACTGTATTCTTTTCTTAGTCTGAACCTACTAAACCAATACTTACCATTCTGTTATGTGTAAAGTAAGAAAGCAAAACCAAACCAAAGTCCTGCAAACAGTTTCAGTGTATGAAGCAGCCTTGATATGTAAAACTCAACAGATGGCTTGGGCTTTTAACTCCACTACACCAGCCATTGTCTGACATCTTACTAAAGAAAATTCATATAGCGGGACAGGAGAATTGTCCTAGAAGCACTCATGGATATTAAATAGTAGGGATAGATGTACTCTACTTTCAGTTGTAAAGCTCACAATATATGTGACTCTTAATTGATCTCATTAGAGCAATATTTGTACAATGACTGTAAACAGTACATGTGGGAGAATAAGAGATACATGAAAAATCCTGTTATGAAGGTTAGATATAAACTAAGAACTCAACCCATCATGATACATCCTTTAAAAATAAAGAAAAAACCTTTCATGAGGAGAGAAATAGACAAGTACACCTGCTAAGTTGTTTCATGCAGCCAAAAAGGAGGTGTTGCCTTGATGGCCAGTTTTTAACAATGACAYGGAAAGAGTTAAGGGGATAAAAAGGGTTTTACCTTGGTATTTGGGATCCCAGGTGCACAACTTGATGGCAGAATGCACACCCGTGTACAGCACRGGTACAAGTTTTATAGGTTTCAGGAATTAGCATATCTATCTAGGATTCCCCAATRAGAAACTTAACAAATGCAGTAATGTCCCCCTATTCTAATGAATCCCCCCCTGGATGAGGCCAGAGCCCAGTTTACACAAGATGTTCCAGAGAGAAGGCTTCACCCAAGGCTGGAGCCTCGGGTTTAAGATAGCACAGGGCACACTGACTTCTTCCTCAGGATGTTTGGTCTCTGTGCCCAGGAGAACTCCTAAACTTAGCTGGAATATCGGGCTACAGGAATTACAAACATGTGGGCTAAGGGGTACAGGTGGATGCATAGAGGGTACAGAAAGTGTAAAAGGAAAAGCAAAAATCATCAGGCATCATTTGTTTAGTTGKAAAAACATCTTTACTCAGGGACACAGGATTAAGAGACACACTGTGCTCAGGTCTTCAGGTTAGGGAAAACCAGGTCTGTGGTTTGTGTTTTTTTTGGTTGACTCTTCTGTGGAAGGGTTCTACAACAACCATCTAGTTGTCCCACATGACCTCTTCAGACAGTTTTTTAAAAATGTGCATATAGTGGTTTATAGTGAGTGCAGAAGCCTTCCTCTACTACTAAACCWGTAAGATAGTTCATTCCTTGTGCTATAGTACTCTCAAAGTGGTTTCTGAGGTGTTCTTAGCCTCAATACTCTTAGCTTCAGTGAAATTGCATCTATGAAGGCTCAGGGCCATAAAATAGAATGCATTTTATAATTACATTTTTGCTTTCTTTCCACAGTCAGCATAGTTCTGGATCATCACTGTTTGCATTAGTGAGAATTTAGACATGGTAAAAGCTTAGACAATTGTAGGCCTGGATATTGTATAGTGATTAACAGCATGGGATACTGTACTGCAAGGTTACAATGCTTTAGCATCTGGTATTTACAGAGAAAGGAAAGTAATATTCAGTCCCTAATACAGCACAAAGCTAGGTTAGTACACACRTTGTTTTTTTTCTGGTATCCAGAGTAGACGTCTTTTCTCGCATGGACATGAAGATTTTTTTAAAAATTATTATTATTTTTTTTTCTGTTGTGCCTGAAGTCAGACTTGCAGTGCAATAATCAGCACTGAAAATTACCACAGTGTGACACAGACAAAACAAATATTCATCCTAGAACAGGAGTGTTGGTCCAAGGCACCAGATATTGAACTGGCCATGGTATCACAGTCAAAACAAACCTTTCAGATATGACTGAGAAGGCCCTGCCATCTGTATATGGAGTATCACCTATTAACATGCAAGTACATACATCACATTTCAGTACATTTTAGCAGATTGCTGTGGCATTAGAGTACAAAATTAGCAGTGGTAAAGTACTAAATATAGTGGCAGCTTTGCAGTAGGCTTGTTACAAAGCCCGCAGCATGCTCAGTGTCTAAATAAGCTGTATTTAAAACACCACCTGAAATCTGTCTGCATAGCTCAGGAGGGGGTGCTCCAGCACTGAGTTTTATACTACAGCGCAGCATAGCCTAACTTCTAGAAGATGCTCATCTTAGACCAGCTATCACACTTGTACTTTCTGAAATTCCAGGACTGATTCTGGCTTAAGCATTTTTGTTTCTCCACTGTAATTTCTTCAACAGGCTTTCAGGGTTTGAACATTCTTGAGAGATTTCTCTCTTGGGTCACAAAACCAGCTTGTGCTCTCAGCAATAAGGGTAGCACTTTCAAAAGTAAATCCAAAACTGTGATCTGGAAAGTCTTAGTAAATGTCTTGGGTTGATTTTTGTGMCAATCCTGTATTCCTATATCCMATTGGCTTGTAATACCCAAAAGGTGCCTGCGCCTTTAAATGCAACTCGGAAGAAGGGGCAGGAGCAGCACGGGCAGTTTAAAAGCCAGGGAGCTCAGCTCTTGAGCTTTTGAGCTCAGCTTTTGAGCTCAGCTCTGCRCAGCAGGAGTTCCTTGCTCRCTGTGTGCAGGGGAGTTACATCGTTACCATTTAGCAAACTCGGGTTTGTTAGCTTGGGCAAACAAGATTTCCCTGGACCACCACCCTTTTCTCCAACCCATATGATTTTTTTTCTTTGGGAGCAATTTGGCGGCCAGCAGGGAGAAGCTGTGCTTCTTGTTCCGTCTTGTCCTGGACTCTGGAAGAAGCCGAGCCCTCTGTTTCATCCACAGTGAGGACTATCATCAGGTTTTTTTCCACTGTTGTCAGAGCGGCCATGTGGACTCTTTTCTTTTGTTTCTTTWTCCCAGGGATGAGAGCCGCCATTTTCTCCAAGCCACATGGTCGAGTGGTTTTGTAGGGGGAGCGGACAGTGCCTGTTCCTGAGTTTTAAATATCTAACAGTTACTTTTTAATCTGTCTCCTGTGGGCACTGTGTTTTGTTAATAAACTACTTTTTTTTTTCTCTTCAGTTTTGCCCGAACATCTATTTCATATTGGTGGGAAAAAAATATCAAATTTTTCACTTCAGAGGAAACATTTACCTTGTAACATTTTTCTCTGAAAACATTGCCTCAAACCAAGACAGCAAGTGATACACAGAACCATATTTATAAATGAGGACTTCTGGCCATTGATTCCAAGTGATGTGTTAGAAAAGGTATCTTTTCAACAGTAGTACAATGATCCAAACGCAAGAACACCCAGAGCTTTTGGAAAGCTTGTTTTAAAGGTATAAATTCAGAGTATTAAAGCAAAGTTTCTGTATAAGCACTAAAGCAGCACCACAATTTTCGTTCTCCTGCCTAATATTGCAATCACTAGTCATTAATCCATCATAATTTACACATCCAGTCTTCCGTCTCAAAGATACCTCAATTCTTAGTTCATTGCACACAAGTTCACATCTTCATAGTACAAAAGAGAATGTGGAGACTGAACTAAAAACAGTACTCACCCCTTCTCCCCAAACTCAAAAAYCTTCCCCCATCGTCAGTTTCCAGGTAGCCAAGCACCAAGCAGCAGCAAGTGTACACGGCATAAATAATCATCATATCCAGACRTTTGATAACTAATCAAAATTAGGCATTTTATATCTCAAGGGTCTGCTTGTAAGTCAGAAGATGAATCAACAGTGGCACCAGCAGGCTTGGACCATTACTCACCTCTTTACAACAGGAGACAGATCAGGAATGAGGTTTGACTGCTTTTATGTAGCTCTTGAGAACTATCATCTGGAAGGCTGACATAGCTTCTACGGCAATCATTTTTCCTTCATGGTCTTTACGGATTTCTATTTGTCTCTATTGATAGAGCATAAAGACAAAACTTGCTAATCTTACAGGCAGGTGACCTAATCTGATGACTTCAAAAGGGATATACTACTATCTCCATTTGCAGTTATAAGGTGCTATTGGAAGTTACACATCTGACAGAAGAAAGTTATTTTAAAAAGTAGTAGGATTTATGATTGTCACCTGCTGAATTTCTACAGTTCTTACAACAATAAATTTCCTAAGGTAAAAATGGTCAAAAGGAATCTGATTTACTAGAATGAATTAACTTACGCAATATTTGGCTACCATCTTCCATCTGGACAAAAAAGCACCTTATATGCCCATTTCTAAGACATTCAGTGCAATACAATGACCCAGGTCTGAAACTTTCTTTCATCAAAAGATTCTGAAGTATACTTCAAGTTAATTAATTCAGCACGGACACAATTTGTTTGAACAGAGAAGAATACTCCAAGTTCTGATATAAAATTAGAAGATTGAGACTAGCGTATTACAGTGACTTACTGTGTCCCACATTATGTGAGAAACGGCCCTACAAAGCAGYCTCCAGCTCCCCTAAGCTCATACCRTAACAAAGAGCTGTCATCTGTGCATTCTTGTTGGAAGCAAACGTAACAAAACAAACAGATCACAATTCTGAAGATGTCAGTGAATCAAAGGATCTCCTTGCTGATATAACTGTAATTTGGAAAGACGAAATAGTACTTTTACAATTAGCACAAGTACCCAGTCACCATCGTACGTAGAGGTTGGCCTCTCTCTGTAATACATGATTCTGCACCATTGCAAAGTCATCTCAATGTGTTTCTCAGATGTTCTTCYCTGCTTTCACAGGGAGGAACAGCATCATGAAATGGATTAGCCAGACCACAGATGTGGTGACTAAAGGACCTGTGGCGACTAAATCTGTGGGAGTGAAACCAGCCATGAGTCTCATTACAGACATGACTGACCTCAAAAATCACAAGGTCAAGTCACTGTTGAGCAGGCCTGTTGAAAGACACATCTCAAACTTTTGCTCCTAATCATTGCTATTCAGACTCTTACACATTATACAAAGCAATTTAGAAGCTTAGCCATTGAAAAGTAAATTTTAATACAAAAATATCCATGGCAATCAATTGATAGCTACTGTTCATGTCAGAAATTCTACCTAAACTCCCGATCCTACTTTGATGTAGTCTTCTATACAGTCACATTTACTGATTTACTATTTGAAAGTGAGACACACTCTGGTGAAACTATGGTAATTCCCTATGCAGAAAATCCCCCGCTCAGACAGGGAATTCAGAAGTCTCTTTTTAAATTAAACACTGACAATGCATTAAATTACTTAACCCATTATCACTTTTCCTGTAACATTCTTGCATCAGTACAACAGACAGTTTCAMAGTTCTTGATTCTGTGGCAGATGAAGCCTATSAAATTTAAAAAAAAAAAGAAAAAAAAAGGAGACAAATATACAGTCATTTGCTTTATCTCATCTAAATTTAGTGGAAGTGAGTTTATGACACCATTAAAACTTTGGAATATGATTTATTTATGAAAATAACAATGTAATAGCATTTAACATTTCTTTATATGTACCATTTTCATAGCTGCTTCATTGTTGCTAAAACATACCAACTTAGCACAAGCTTGGTTACCTGTTAATTAAACTTAGAATACCTACTTATTAATATTGAATTAATATCGAAATATCRAACTTAGAGAAGGAAAATAGTAATTTTACTACTGGGGTGCTTAGGTTCCTCAGGTATATCTGAATCTAGTCTGTGATAGGTAAAATTTGTGTGCAATAAATTAGACACAGCTCCCRTATCAGTGGAGAAAATACCAGAAATGACCCACTGATAGGCTACATAACCTATGTATGTTAAATTTCTCCCTTGATCTTTCTGGGCGAAATCAGTTCTTCATTTGATTGTTAGGTAAATGATGGCTTTCCAAAGTAGCAACTTCTAAGTGGTTCATGATTTATTCATCAGTGCAGCAGCAGTTCTAAATCTTTGCACTACAGACAGAGCAACAACTTCTAAGCCAGTTAACTGGCAGCCTCRTTAAGGATATCAAGAACTGCATGAAAGGGAGATAAAACTGTTCTTTTACCATTGCTGATAAGTCTTTCAGGCCAAAAAAGACACATATCGCCTTTACAATGGAAAAATAGTGATTTCCTTAATTAGGAATACACTTTATACACTAAAAATCTCTAATCTTACATCAAATTTGGCACTAGATCATAAGTGAACATAAAAAATGTAACCATTTTTAAAAAAGTGTAAGCAGAAACTTTCCAGACTATGAAGAGCTAAAACCTTCATTTTTGCTGTCCGTATTCTCCTCTATTAAGCTCAAAAATCTTAAAACTGAATTCCAAGACAATTAAAAAAAAATTGCCCTCTTGGATAGTAAGATTTCACATGTTCAGGAAACACTGAAAACTGAAGTTGGTAGATAGCTTCTCAACTGTAGTATTTACTTAAATAATACAGAACTGAAGTGTTAACAGCTGCAACTTCTCAAACTAGTGGTAAAATAGCTTCCTCTACATATTGACAAGTTTATTAAGCTCTATTACATTGAAGAAAATACATAAGAAACCCTTTGCTAATGTGCTCACATACTACACTTGGACTTAACTACAAATGAGTCAGTCTTRAATCAGAAATACAAATAAATACCCCATGCAATGACATTTTTTAAAAGCCTAAAATTAAACAGATGAAAGTGTAGTTCTCTTACATTTAAAAAATTCCTTTTGTACAGTGCTTTTAGTTTTCAATGTAATTTAAMTTACATTTTTCAACATACAAAAATAAAGCTAAAATACAAGCTGAAAACTTCTGTTTATGTATTAGCAAACAAGATTAAATTTTAGATTCTCTTTAGGCACTAAAACTTAATGATATCTACGTATATTGAACTCTCCTACATCTCTACATCTATTGATGTAGTGTAGAACACTACATCTCTGGTGAGAAAATTACATCTCTTTGAACTAAGTGTCTATTGATCAACATGATTTTATCCATTGACAGATTTCAGCATTTATGCCACTAAGTAATATCTTCACTTTCAAAATTATGGTAACACCAAAGGCAATAACTGATTGCTATAAAACGGAAAACAGTACCACCAAGTGGCATATGCCCCAGATAATGATTTAGAATTCACATCTTTAAGATTGTTTTACAACCATAATGCTGTTACCACCCTAACATTTACAAAATCCAAGATTATTTTGAGCTTTTTTTCCCCCTCTGACACTACAGGAACTGATCTTGTTTCATTACAAAAGGACATTGATGCAGAGCTGCTTCAGAACTAAAAGTAGACAATACACAGAGCACTATGGCATTACTCTTTGCAATGGTCATACATATGAATGAAAAATAAACTGAATAAGGACAGGTAATACATATACAATAATTTGTAACATTCAGAGCATGCTTTACTTATTATCTCTTTCTAAGCCCAGAAGAAAACCACTGAACTCCCTAATCTAGTAACTATTACAAGATAGCAGGACAAGCTATAGGCAAGAGAAAAGCTACTATGTAACAGACCTGAAAAGTTTCAAAATAATTTCAGGTATTGAATCAGATATAATTGGACCAGAGAACAATAGCATGCAATGCAAAGCATGATATGGACCACTGACGTTCACTCGTGGCAGCAGAGTAAATGCACTGAAGTATCCACAGGTCATTTCAGAATCCAAGCTGCGCAGAGGTTGCTGCTGCCAACCAGGTAATATAAGGCTAGTTCAGAAATATCTATCTACCAAAAAAAATTGGCAAGTGATTAATGAATAGGCAAAACCCACATCTCAACAATTTTCTCAGGTATTTTTCAGCTATCTCTAGTTTCTAACCCAGTGCTTTTATTACCCCAATTCCAGCTCTGACATACRAAAGCTAACAATTCTTCACATACTACTATCAGTGTTCGCAAATAAAATTTCATGCCTCACACCTGTGTATACCCAGTGACTTTGATGAATTTAAGAAACCTCTATATGGAGTTTGACATCCTGTTTCATTCACCAAGCAGTTCTCTTGTGCTACTTTCCTCCTTCAGCACACAAAGAAAAATCCTGCCTGCTAACCAAAAACKTTTTCAGAAAACAGCTATGGCCACTAATGGATGTGTGTTATGCGGTCTTTGCAAAATGGCACTGCTATCATCACTCTTGTGAGCAATTTTCAAATAAGGGTTTATCCAGAAAAAACTACATGTAAAACAATACAGCAATTATGAACTGCACTGTTCTCAAACCTCTACCTGAGTTCCTACCATTTATAAAGTGGAAAAATGAATGATGTGACACAGAAGCTCAGCACGCAAGTTTGTTAACAATGAAGGCAATGGACTTCCCATGGAAGATGGACACATTCAGTGGATTATGCACTCAACCCTGTAGGAGCACATTAGAACTTCATTACCGTGCTATGCTACCAATTTATCGTGAGCTAACCTCTACAGAGATAAATATTTTACAGAGWAAGAGTTCTCCAAAAGTGTCTTGTTTAGAACAGAGGAACTGTTAAACACCTGGTAAGAAGGGACAGATTRTAACTACCTCACAGATCTGCACAGCATTATTTACAAAGCAAAACCAGGAAATACAGTATTTGCAAAAAATATGATTTGAGGTAGGGARGCAATATTTGTGTTTAGTRATTACTTTTTTTAAAAAMACAAAATGAAAAAAAAACCCAAAACACTTTTAGTAAGGGAACCATACAAAGTAATATGGYGGATATAGCCTCACATGTGTGGTAAGCTAGCTAGTAAGTTAAGGCTGCCATCCTTAACTACTGTTAATTTCCAAAGGTATGTTTCTCAGCCAAGTGTACATAATCCTTTACACACTTCGTATCTACCATAGAGCTATGCAATTTCAGGACAACAAACCTTAAGAAATCAAACTAATACCAGCTAAAACAAGATACACTGAAAGAAATCTAGTTCTTCCCAAAGGACAAACTTCGCTTTTCAAAGATACCATAAATAATACATGAGTATTTTTACTATTATCTACATTTCAAATGAAGTAAGATCTATGAATAAGACCAGATGGTCTAAAAATATTATTATAATAAGTATGTACCAGCAGAAACTTCCCTCTAAAATACTTATTTTATTAGTGAAATGGTACCAAAGATAACAGGTATACAAACAATCTCCGCTCTAAGCTACTTACACATCATAAATAAGACAGCTGTTGTTGCAAGACACAATCTTTCACAGTCTTCCTGTAAGCATACAGATTTTTTATTATCAGAATTAGCTGTTTTCCAGCCAACAGCATGTGGCCTAAACATCACAAAAAAAGGCTGTTCTATACTTTACATGGTAAAGCATTTTCTGTTGTGTTAAATGTACACAGTGGCAAGAACATTTAAACCTTATAGAAAATGAAGAATAATTAAGCAGCTTCACAATCAAAGTGGATTCCATTACTTAGGAATTGGGCAAAGTTTTCATCCCCTTTAATGTGCTTGCCTTCCACTGAAAGAATTAACTATGCAAAGGAAAAGTAAAACAAATAGAAAGCAAATAGGCAATACACTATTAATTTTTTATTTTAACTAACAGAAATAACACTTCCCATGAGGTAAGGCAATTAAGAAATTTGATTGCATTAAATTGTAGTAAAAAATAACCTACGCGATTTTAGGTATGTCTTAAAAGTATAACTGATCARAAATCTCACGTAACCAAATAAACTAGTTCAGAGATCACAAGCCATGTTTTGTCTTGACAAAAATACTTTTGTCATTCTCTTCTCAGATGCTTTTCTCCACAAAGAATTAAAAAAGAATCTCTACTATGTAAGCCCTGTGTAAATTAATACTTTCTTCCACAAATTATTATCCCCCATTTCTTTGCATCTCATTTCTTTTGTATCACCCAACACATATCAGAAGAAATAACAGAGGTAACAGTTAAGGCCATCCAAATATAGATTGAACATCTTAAGGACTTTCTTTGATGCAGGTGATCAGAGCACACTTTGTATTCAGCTACTACTTTTGTACAGTGATGGTCCCCAAATTACATCTTTTCTCTTATTTAGAAATCTTTTCTAAGAATAAAAAATAAAAATAAAATGGAGCTTCAATATTTTAACAAGTGAATCAAACAACCACTCTGACAAGTCACTTGCATTCTTGTCTACAGTATGGTGGTGGCAAAATAGCAAGAGAGATCATATAAGATTTAGCTGAAAATGTGTAACAGCACATATATATTTCTAGAAAATACCACTTTTTTAGAAGGCACTAAAGCTTCTGCTTGTGCTCCCATTTTTTTTAACAAAAAAAAATTATTTTCAGAATGGCACCTGTACCATTTTCAGCTGAACAGACACACTGCAGTACATTTGAAAACAAAGCTGTAAGTTCTGGTATCACCATACAGATGTGCTCACTTCTCTACAGACAAAAAAACCAAAAAAAAAACCAAAAACGACTCCAAAAAACCCTGTAAGCTAACCTAGTATCTATAACATGGCAATGTTCCTTTTAGGAACAGAAAAAGCGCATGCATTATTCAAATACTTTAAAAGAAATATTAATTTCAGGGATATTAGTATGAAATTATTTTAAATAATAAACCCTAAGGATCTCAAGCAGTGAGCAAATGAAAAACATACTAATCTATGAGCATTTAACATAAGAACAGTAAAACCATGTTTATGCTTAAATCCCCTTTCCCGACAGTTGTCATTTACAAGGAAAGAAAGTGTGTATAAATGCACCATTTTCAAGCACATCAAACAGCACACATTGAAGTTTTTGTGGATTTTTCAACCTACAGGGCAAAACAATACAAAAGTCATCAACAAACAAGAAGTATTTTAAACAACCTTCAATGCATATCTTCAGCTTTTTTTGGGAAGTACAGGTTTACATCTTTCAGTTTCTAGTTACTTGTAACAGCTTATAGCAAAACTTAACATAAATCATTTTACAAGTACAGCCATCATGGAAATGCATGGATTTTCAGAGATGAATAGTTCTGATGGCATCTGCCTTTTCATGGTATAACTACTGGTCCATGCTCTCTTGCTTTACAGCAAGAAGACAGCAAAGCTATCACAATAATTGGAGGAGAGACTAGTACTATCAACACGTTCAAGTTGATTGCTTTAACATTTTCTTCCTCATTCTGGGAAATCAAATGCTTTGGATTTCATTCCTTAGTTGAATTAGAAGTCCATTCTTTGCTTTAAACCTCTTCAATTTTTATTGAGAGGTTTTCTTCATTTGGTTGGCAGTTCCCATTCTGTTGTAGCTTGACTTCATCTGTCCTTTGTGTATCTCTATTGTCTACCTCCTTGTCAGTTTCTGAATTCTGATCTTCTTTATTGTTATCTTTGTCCTACCAAAGACAAAATTATTTGACACCAAATAATATTCTTAGCATTACAGGCCATGACCTCCAACCAACCCTCAGTAATTTTAGTTTCAATTTTTACATGTCTGTCTTGTCTCTCCAAATTTTAGAATAGAGATGTAAACTCTTTTCCCCCCCCCCCCTTTTTTTTTTTTTTAATAAGTTTTTTTTCAATTGGCTGAAGTCAGGCACTGATAGCAATCTATCCTCAAGAAATTATGCCATAATTTAATAACTACATTTAGACAAAACAGAACAAGCAGCACCATGGAACATATGAGAAACAGCTCCAGAAATTCAGATTTCACTAACATTTTTTAAACAGAACATGGCCTTTTCTTTCTTATCAGGTAGCTGATKAATTTTGAGAGAGTTCTTGGGTAAAATACTTAAGCATTTGAACAGTCACCTAAACCAGTTATCTTGTAACAGTCAAATATATTGAGCAGAACAAACTACTCTTTAAAGGTGCGCTGCTATTCAAATTTTAACACTAAACAATTTGAAAATGTTTCTTTTTTCAATTACTGTACCTTCTATTTTGCAGGGAAAAATCCCATACCTCTCTTTCACAACTCTTGAACTTTACTCCTATATAATCCAAYATAAAATCCAGATAAGTCAATGATGGAGAAGTTGAACTGCACAGTGAGAGTTTATTTAAGAATAATTTTTCTGATTAACAGTCAAACCACCCCTGAACACTGCTTCTTAGCTACAAGATCTGCCTGCAGCYAGGCAAGCGGTAACTTCCGCCATGCAACAGGAAAGAGAAATGGAATGTTTCTGTAACCTAATCACAAAAACTCCTACAGGTCAACCAAAGTTCAAATATGGTGACTTAAATGGGCCTACTAACCCTACCTAGCAAATACTAAATCCATATGGCAGTAATTTGGTAAGGAAAACAAGAAAAAGAAGGGAGTAAAAGAATAAAAGAGACAGAATTCCAGTAACAGCTTCACTACCACTTGACTGGTCATCACTTGGTCACAAACTTACCTTCAAAGTAGTAGTGCTTTTGTCAGATTTCTCCTTTCCCTCTTTTTCTTTACTACTTTTTTTCTTGGAAGTGGAGCGTTCTCTTTCTCTTCTTTCATTATTTGTATCTCTTTCTCTTTTTTTTTCTTTCTTGTTTCTGTTTCAGAAATTTTTTATTCAAATTAGGATTTGCTCCAACTACAATAAACTTTAAACCATTTGACTGCAAATTATACTCCCAGTATGGATTTWAAAAAAATTTCCTCTCAAATTTTAACAGAAAAACCCTTTGTAAAGACAATAGGATTTTTTTTACCGAAGCAAGCTAAACAGTGCATRTGAACAGAACACATAGTATTTGCAAAGAAAAAAGCAAATCAATCTGTATAAGATGAAGATATCTTATTGATCTGAAGCAATATTCAATGCTGATTGATTTGAACCTATGTCACTGAAAGAACACCAGAGCTCAAATCTGCAATAGTTGAGCTAGTTTTAAATTAAAACTGAATCACACTGACCAACTGAATTAGTCTTAGACATTAGCACAAAAGSAGTTAAACAGTGAAAACACTTAAATCCTTCCTTTTTTACTAATCATTAACTTCTGTTTACGTCAAACCGACCTTCTTGGAGAAGGAGATCGTGAAGACTTTCTTTTTGCAGTTTTTGATGTTTTAGGAGACTTGGAGGGACTTCTACTCTTCCTTTTACGCCTTTCTCTGTAGGACCAAGAAATTCAAAACAATCAAAACCCAAAAAGAATAAAGTCAAAAAGTACATAAAGAGAGCTCTTAAAACGATCTGACATATCCACTGAATTTAACAGTCTGTATTACCAACAAAATATGAACTGTACAACTAAAAAAAAAACCATTCTGAATGGTTCCATTTAGTGGGAAAGGCAGTATGAACTTCAAAGGGTAACATTACAACCTGAAGACAACTGCGACTTCAGTTTACCCTGACTGTATTAATTCCTGAATACATGAGCCAGAATTAGTAGGTGTAGAAAAAGCAGTGCACAGGGACACCCAAGCTGTTGTTGAAGTCAGAATAAATAATATCTTCTGTTTTTCCAGTGGTCCTTGCTTAGCATATAGAATTACATCATTCTGCAACTCATGGAAGAGCTTGTGATGTTTTACAAAGCAGCTGTTTTACATAGCTATATAGAGTTTGCTGAAGTTACCATTATGGAGTCTGATCTTGAATGAAAAACATGAAAACAGGTAATTTATAATGAGGCACAAATTATATTTAAACAAAAACTGGGCCAGTACAACTTCATTCAATATAAATGAAGAACCCATCTGTCAAAATAAGWTGATTTTTTCCTATTTATTTTTCCTAACTCTTCATTTAGTAGGAAAAGCAGATTAGAAGACCAAAGAAAAACAGTGAAGTTTAAAACTAACTTCTAGATTTGGCACAAAAGCTACATCGATGGATAAATTCAACGTACAAATTGCTTTTGCAACTAGTGATTATTTATATCTTCAGTATTTAGAATATTCAAGAAATCAACTCCTATTAGATAAATTACAAAAAGACATATTGAAGCCAGTATCACTGCATGGATTGATACTCTGACAATACAATCTACTGTGACTGTCCTGGTTTTGGCTAGGGTAATTTTTTTTCGAGTAACCAATACACTGCTGCGTTTTGGATTCAGTGCAAGAATAATGCTGATAACACACTAATGTTTTAGTTATTGRTAACTCTAAATCAAGGATTTTTGCTTCCCATGGACTGCTAGCAAGCAGGTGTGCAAGACACCGGGAGGGAGTATGGTCAGGAGWGCTAATCCAAACTGACTAAAAGGTTATTCCATACTGTAGGCAGAGAGCTGGCAGGGAGCTGCAGACTGCCCTGGAAGATGGGCTGGGCATTGGTCAGTGAGGGGTGAGTGACTGTGTAGTGCTTCACTTGTTTCTCTTGGGTTTTATTTCTGTCCTTTCCCTTACAATCARTACTGTTACTATAATTATTTTGTTTCAATTACTAATGTCTTCTTTCCTCAACTCTCAAAACAGAGCCGGCAAAGTGTGACAAGGTTAAACAAGGAAGGCATTGGCGAGGAAGTTGAAAAACAACTGTCACGGTGGCATTTGCTCACTCCCTGCCTTCTTTTGCCCCCTTCGCCCCTTCAACCTCCATACCCCCACCCTACTGGGGWGGAGAAAAATAAGGAAAAAAAGGAAAACACTGGCACTGTACCAGCTGCTAAGAAAAAAATTAACCCTTTCAGTCAAAACCAAGATAGGGACTTTCTGAAGCTCCACAGCACAAGATTTCTTAAACATTTTGTTCAGCAGGCTTTTGATTTATCTTTGATACACAAAAATAGAAAATGGCCTCAAAATCATGAAGTAAACAACACAATCATTGATCAGTTGTTCATTAATTAATATGCATTTTATTTTGAACATCTCCATATTTATCATCACYTTTTTTCAAATGAGGATACTGGAAATTGATTACTCTCTCTCAGTRCTGTTGCTTCAGCCACATTGAGTGCATTCCTACTTTACTTTTCAGCATATGTACCTGAAAACCAAGTGCTTTAGCAACTGTGTTCAAACTAGAAACTGCTTATTCATGAAATCTCATTTTCAGTTTCTGCTTTTCTTATTTCAAGTTGAAGAACTGTAACCATCTCATAGCATTTGTTGCCATCTCTATTACATTTGTCTATACACATTGTGCACCCATTTCATTAACTCTCTTACACAATACTAACATAGCAAAATTTAAGCAAATACAAGTCTGAATACTTAGACAGTGATCCCATGTCTCTTAAACCAGCACAGAAATAACATTCTGCACCCRTCTGATGCTACTGGCTCTGCTAGCCTGTAAGATAGCTCCTTTTCCAACTGATTTCTCTTCCCCTGGTCTGTCTCTTCTTTCAGCTAGAAATCAAAAATAACCATCTTATTTCCATTACTTGTATGCTGTCTGTCAGCAAARCAAGGGCAGCTGCCATCTAGTTCTTTGATGGTCCTGTATGTCCCATTCCACTTTCAACTCTTCTCCAATGACGATGATTTGTCCAATATTTACACAAATCAGGCAAACGATCTGATGAAGATCGTACTGCAAATCCAGGTACTTGCTGTACTGCAAATCCAGGCAACTGAAATGCTATCTGTTGAGTAATATTCACTAGAAAGGTCTGCAACCATTTCAACTATGCAGTGTCAATCACCAGAGAGACTCATAAAAGCAAGCTGTGCCTCTGTAACGCAACCTATTCAGAACTACTTTTCAGAGAACATTGCCATTACTCAGGTTGGAAGAACCCTGTGAAGATCACTTAGTCCAACCTACCCCTTCCCCACTCAATCAGAGTAGGTTATTCAGGGCCATATCTCCAGTCAGATTTTTATTATCTCCATGGATGAAGGAGACAATCTCTTGGAGTAACTGCTTCCAATCTGCTCAGTAAAACCACAATTTCAGCATTAGAAAAAAGCCTTTATTTCCCATACGTCAGTATGTGCCTGTCACCTCTTAATTGCCATACAACCCTACCGGCTCTGTCTTCTTCATGCTCTTATCAGATATTCATACATATTGGTATGCTCCTCAGCCTTCTCTTTCCCAGGCTAAACAATCTCAGATTCCTCACTACCCCTTGTACGGCAAATGCTCCAAGCMCTTTATCAGCTTCACGGCCCTCCACTGGATTCACTCCAGTATATCTGCATGTCCCTGGTAATGAAAAGCCCAGAATAGGATCTAAATGTGTCCTCTGAATTATATCCCAAGAGTTATCTTTCTTGCTCTACTCACAAGACTGCTGTCCTTCCTGGCTGCAAGAACCTGCCTGCCAGCCTTCCAGCCAGTCAGTCCCCATTCTTTACTGGTGCAATGGGATTATTCCTGCCCAGGTGTACCATGAGACGACTATCAGTTCATTWGTCCCACCTGCTGAGATTTGTCTAAATGGCAGACCAGCCTCTCTCYGCAGTGGTTTCTCCATAACCTGCAAAACTGCTGAGGGTGCACTCTGTCCCACTAAGCCCCTGATAATGACATTCACCACTACTGGCTTCTGCACTGATGCTCCTAGGATGTTACTGCTGAAGAAGAAATAATAAAATGTGTATTTCCCCATCTTCTATCTTCAAAAGAACACTGCCCTTATTTAACAATATTCATTATCATATCAAAGGACAGATTTGTACTTTGACTCCACTAGAAGACATGCACCAATTTTCACTAGAATTCTTTGTTCAACTACATGACATTGGAGCTGCTGAGCTGCATCTTAACTCACAAGATTCCTAAGAGGGAGCAAAATTGTTGCCAACTAGGATATGARCCTTTAGTAATATCCAACTAACTAAACTTGCTATTTGGCAACAGGAACCTGGTTTTCCACTGAAGTTTCTATATAAGCTACAAATATTTTTCTGTACTTATCTAATTCAACACTCCTGAAGCCTACAGACAGAAAGAATGGTTTCAAACCTAACAGAAGTATCTGTGTGTGGATCTTGCGCTCATCAAGATAGGACGATGCATATGCATAAAGATKAAAGAGTATTTTGCTCATAAACCTTATAACATACAACATTCAGAAACCATAACATGCTTTTCTGCCTTTTATGAACCCTGAACTGATGAAATTTGAGGACTAGAGGAATTCTGCTTTTGTCTTGTGAAATTATTGTAATAGGTAGAACTTGTCTAATTTCATTATCTCAAGGTTATAGACCTAATTTGGTTTTTAAATCTGATACAGTATTACTGAACTCCCTAATTCCTGATGTAACAGAAAGGACCTTATTCACCAAGGTTTCTCAACTTAACTTAGCTGCAATGCTTTTAAGATATGCCTGACTTTGACTGTTTACYGAAATTCATTATAATCTCACAGCCTCCTTCCGCTATACTGAATTGATCCAGACTTCCTGCCAATTAAGTTTCCCTCAGAGGCAAAAGCAACAGCTACATTAACTTCATTATTTTCCTGCSTACTTCGAGCAGTGTTAAGGAATGTTACTTTTTACTTATACCTGGCCTAGTAGCTAAACCAGGTATCTCTTCAGACTGAGATACATTCACCTTACCAAAGGCTAGCCAGCCAAGACACATGCTTGCTCCCTACAGTTCAACCATCCAGCCATGAAGTGGCCAGTATTATCAAACAACTGTTTGCAAGACCAAAACGTTGCAGTAGGTAAGTAATGAAAGAACTATGCAGCAGTGACTCAAGCTTTCATCAGGGCAAAGATCATGTATGTGACGCTGGTCAAAATTTTTGGCTATTTCCAACGCATGGAAATGGTACAACAATAATCTGATTACAATCCTCAAGGTATATGTATATTATACGGTTATGTGAAAGTCAAACACCAGCAGCCCAACAAGAAACTGAGTTCTACCAGCCATTACACAGAGCTTTTTATAACAGACATTACTTTAAAGGAAAATCTACAAAACATAGATAATACAGATTTATTTAGTAAGAAACATGGTAATAGTGATACATAAAAATTAGGATGTTGCCTCACTAAACTGACAAGTCAAAAAAAAAGCATGAAAAATACTAAACAAACCTGCTGGAGCTACGAGATCTTCTTGAAGAACTATAGCTTCTCGGGGGTGTTCTGGATCTCTTATCTTTCTTCTTTTTATCATCTCTCTCTTTTTCTCGCTCCTTTTCCTTATCCCCATCTTTTTCCTTTTCTTTATCTCTGTCCTTTTCTTTGTCCCCTCCTTTGTCCTTATCCCCCTCCTTGTCTTTAATTTTCTCTCTGTCCTTGTCTCCTTCTTTCTCGGTATCTTCTTTTTCTTTGTTCTGATCTACCTCTTCCTTGTCTTTTTCCTTATCTTTATCTTTTTCCTTTTCCCTGTCCTTGTCCCTGTCTTTGTCCTTATCCTTGTCCCTGTCTCGGGCTCTCTCTCTATCTTTGCTTCGTTCTTTATCTCTCTCCTTGTCCTTCTCCCTATTTCTCTCTTTATCTCGCTCTCTTTCCCTGTCTTTGTCTCGGTCCCTATCCTTCTCCTTGTCTCGGTCTCTGTCTTTCTCTTTTTCTTTGGCTTTTTCTTTTTCCTTGATCTTTTCTTTGTCTCTTTTCTTGTCCCTGTGAAAAGCCAAACACAAACCMATTAATTAATCTTTGAACTTTCCAATTAAAATTACAACTAACTTTTTAGTATACATCAAGAATAAAAGTTTGCATCTCTGTTGAAAAACAGTTATTCTTCAATTTCTCACCACTGTTCACAATGAGGCAAAGCTAAAAAATATATAGCCATATAAAGCTAAGAAAAATTTGGAAACCAAACTGGAGAAAGAGGTCAAAACCAAATCAAACCACTGTCTTCCMAGTGACACTACTATGCTTGGAGAGAATGTGTTTCTCCGCCTCACAGTTATGTTTTGAGAGGAGTGAGACACTCTAGAGTCTGTAAATCTTTACTAGAAGTGTATCCACATAGAATGGCCTTCAGATTAATCACTGCCMAATGAATAATGACAGCTGACTGACAGATGTCTTCATATTCCACAGTTTTCTCTCACACAGATCCTTGAAATGCTTGGAAGTCCGACAACACTTAATACACAGAATTAAAATGAGAACACAAATAAAATGCCACCAGATTCTTTTAAAAGGCAAATGTAAGATCAAAACTCAATCAGGACAATTCAATGTCATTAAGAATTTGAAAATTACTGAAGAATTGCTAATACAGTAAAAACAGAAGAAAGAAAAACAGCTTCTGCAGGAAAGGAAGTAYGATACATGTTCATTAAAAAAGTGAGGAAAATTCCATCTTAAGTTCCAATCATCAAGTCAAACAAAAACTAATTAGCTCACAACTTTGGCTGGAAGAATACATTTAGTATAGGACTATTTGAAAATGCAAGACTCCTTTTCACTCTAGTACAGAGACACATGACAAAAGAACAGCCATTCAGAGAGAAACAGGAGAAAGTACAAGAAGGGAAATTGATTAGCAGACCTTATTGTGTCAAGAACCACACTGACAGAGGTTAGCATGCCTACTGATATTGGAACCTATTCCAGAATTTTACAGATTCTTAAACAGACTCCTTCACACATGAAAAATCCTAAGCACTCAAACTTTTCTCAAACTGAAGAATTGTCTGGCTGTATCTTCTTCTCAACTGCAAATAAACAGCAGACTGTTGTATGCTYTGTGACTCGACAACTTCGATTTCCACCAGGTTCTGTCAAGTGCTTTTTTTAGGAGTCTCAGAGAAAGAATGTAAMATCATAAAGATGAAACAGCACACAGTCCCCCCCCAACACCAGCCTTACAACCTCCCAAKAAATGCTTTCTAGTTAATTTATCAGAGTTTTCACTGGATTTGCCCCTTCCAGTGAGCAGATGCCTAAAGAAGCTCCAGACAACATGAACAGAGGATCCACCAATAAAACCCAGCTGGCTACATAGCCTAGTTTTGTTTCCACAGGGGTATACAAAGCTGCAGCTCTCTTTCCCACAAAACTTCTCAAAGAACTAGAGGCAGCTACACAATCCAAGTACAAATCTCCCTTTAAATGAATCAGGGGAATTACAGAAATGAAACAAAAGAACATAGCAAGACTTCTATTCATGAAGCTGTTWTCACAGACACTTCTGGTGCGAGCTTATTCACTACTTCATCCCTCAGAAAATTATACTATGATCTTGTTAGAATTTCACAATTCAATAATTAGATAATCAGACAAAAACTAACAGACTAGATAAAATACACACATATTAAATCCTGAAATACATATATGCCATAAAACAGACACACGCATTTGCTCCTGCTGTTTGACATATGAAAAAGTCAAAGTTGAAAATACTACCCCATGCACAAAAATGTTACACGTGTTCTCAAAATACAGGATCAGTGTCAGTATGAACTCAATGCTCTCAACAGATACATATCAAACACACACTATCCATTTTTGTGGGTTCACAAGGTACACAGGAGATTCCTTCAGTGCTTATAATCTGACAAAATAACCTCCTTTCAGTCACCTTGGACAATAGTACAAATGAAGACTAGACGACCAAAGTTCAGGTGCCTAAGTGTGATCATTTAACCCCTGGAGGCACCATACATACTACAAGATAATGAATTCTATCCTGCCCAAGACAACTATACTCAGCATTAAAACTTACTTTCTGTCCTTTTGGCCCACAGATGAAACTCTACCCTTTATAGTCACCTAAAAGGTCTGTAAACTCTTTTTCAAAAACTCTAAATGGTGAGCAAACAGTATCCTTTTGTGTAGAACAGAACTCACCGAGAACGAGAGCGACTTCTTGATTTCCGTCTTTCCGTAGATCTAGACCGTTTTTTCAGGGGACTTCTGGATCTGCGTCGGTCCTTGTGTCTTGAGAGAGATCTGTTGCCAGATCTACTTCTATGTGAAGAATGCCATATAAAGAATTCCAGAAGAAAAATGTTTTAATATTGAAAYTTCATACAAACAAGGTCAACCAACAAAACGACAGTATACGGGTTGCTTCACCACACAGTTTTATATGAAGAATTACACATGAATAACATACTGTTATGCAGTATGTTATTGTACTGCAAACATTTTTGCGAGTAAGGATACTTTATGCTTCACCAGGTGTACATGCTCTAGTTTGAAACAARCAACCATTTAAGTTATACCAATGTTTCATAATAATCTCCATGAATCTGGAAAGTATAAYTTAATAGCAACAGCTGTCCTTCTGAAATGACACAAAATCTGAAATGGCATAAAATCTCTGAATGACAATTTCTAGCACATTGTAAAAATAATTAGTTACATTTTATTTCCTTTTCAGGCCCTTACTGAAGGCTCAGTCATTAAAAAAAAAGAGATTACTTTGGCTGCAACAGTCTTTTTGCTTTGCTCTCCACCCTTGTAATTTCAATTAATTAAAAACTCGGATGAACTATGGTACAGCTTTTAGTCAAGTTATCTTTTCAGATAAGAAGAATTTGTTAGCATGGATTTCAGTTGCAAATGCAGATACTCTGATTAAACAAAGTCTTACACAGATGTGATGAAGATAACAGCACTTTTAAATTTTTTTCCATAATAGTCCCTATTTTTGGAAGATGCTTTTMCCCGGAKAAGCAAATAAAACAAAACAAAACAAACCTGAATTTGCACATTAAGTTGCAAAAAAACGCATAATTGGATTCTTTGGTTTAGATGTTAAGGCATCATGAAGTCTAACTTACAAAAGACAGAAAGACTGTATTACTTAATAAAACCTGAAGAACAGGGAAGTACAAAAAAATAAAAGCTGCAACTACCTTTTGAAGCTCAAGACACATGGTATAATATATACCAACAGGGAATAAGTCATTTTTACAGCTTTGTTCTTCTTACCAGCAAGGAAATACAAATCAACTTCAGGGTCAATTAATTACAACTCAATCAATGTACAACCTTGAATACATTTTATGCCACAGAGATGAAAATAATGTCATATAAAACAGCAGAACAGTGAAGCAGTAAGGATAGATTATTCTTATGGATGAACCTGCCTCAACAGGTCAGACTAGCTTTTTTTCAGCATGTTCTTAAAACTGACAGTAGCAATATTAAACAATTAAACAAAACATAAAAAAAATATTAAAATAAACACGTTGTTTAAAGCACAGGTTTTTCACATTKAAAAAAAGAAAAGCTTATCTGAAATCTCACCTGGTTTGAAATCCCTTCTATCAGTAGAAGACAGTACTGAAATTACTACATTGTTACACAAAAACAAGTTTGCTTTTCAGTTATGCCTTGAGTTAAAAACACAGCACAGAAGTGATGGAATAGTCCTTCTTGCGTTAAAAAGATACCTAACATTTTGAAATTATTAGAAAACATATTCTGTGGTTTTCTGCTATTTCAAACCTAAGCCTGCACTTTTATCGTATTTATTTGATAGTATAAACAATGAGACCTCCCTCTTGACAGATTTTTTTGTATCTAAAAAATCCTAGCAGTCTTGTTAAAAGACATGAGTGAAAGGATGCAGCAGAGCTGCATGTTGCTAGGKAGGCAGCATTTAAAGTGTAACCAATCAAATAACATTCCACATTTTTTAAAATTGATTTACCTAYGTTCTCAGAAGATACTCCTGACACAAAGAAACTGAACCATTTCAGAAAGCCTTTTTAAGTCTCAACAAGCAAGGCTTTTTCATTCTCAGAAAAAAATGTCTTAATGGATATGCTTCAAGAACAATAAAAGAAAYTTCTGTTTCAGAACTGAATAAATCTAGCAAAGCAAACAAAATCTGCAAAATAAGAAGCTGCCCCTAAAGCCTTTTCCTTATGCTTTTTAAAAACATATCTTAGATTCACAAAACAGTAAATAAAAACACTGCAYTCATTAACTCGATGTTTAGAAGCTCAGAAGAATAGGAATTCTTTACCAAAAACCAGCCAGCCTATTTGCTCAGGGTATTACTAGTAAATTATATGCTTGATCCACAAAATGTAATTTCTTTTTAAAATACAAAATGTTATTAAGCTACATAGCCTAACGTACAAAGAAACCACAGAAATTTTTCTCTTACATGGCACAGAAAGTGGTTTCTAGTATGTTTAACTGAAAGTAAACCTAACATGTAGAATTTAGAGAGAAAAAGCATCAATTCAGAAATTAAACTCCTGGCTACTCTGTTCTGCAGAGCACAAATTAGTAATCTTTTCAGGAATAATACTTGTCTATAACTAAGAAATCTCAGTAATCAGCATCATGCAAAAAGTCTAAATATGATTTTAAGCTGAAACMAAAAGCATACCTACCTGTGTTTTGAGTGTGATCTTTTCCTTCTAGATCGGGATTTTGAGCTAGACCTGGATTCTGAACGAGAATGGGAACGAGATCGACCGCCTTTTCTTTCACTGCTCTTTCCAGACTCTGAGAGGAAAAAACCACTTTGCAGTGTAAGCTCAGAACATTTAAAGATCCCAGTTAACAATCTGGCGCAAGTGGAATGCACCACATATATTGCAAGGGGCCTACTCTCTGCACATCTTTCTTCTTTTCAAATATCCTTCAGAAACATCCAAGAAAGTCATTGCATATACTCGTTGAGTGCAGCCATCCTGCAGCAGTACACATAAACCAGATAATTATAAACAGCTAGCTCTATTAAGAATGGGATTTATCTTGCTGCCACAATGCACAAGACCGTAACATGTCCTCCTTTTGGTCTATTATTAAACATAATTACTTTTTTTTTAATAACCTGAGTAAATTTAGAGGGCATAGTTAGAATATAGATAATTATTACTGTCTGTACTTTTAAGTATTTCAAACATTGTAYGAATACTGAAATTTTATTCCTCAAACATTGTTTTGTGGGAGGGAAGGATGAACAGAATAGGGTGAGAAGTCTAACCAAAGGCCAAAAAGTCAAYAGAAACTTTACAGTGAACTCACTATGGTTCAGACTCTAATGTTATTCTGTTGCTTAACAGTGATAAAGTGTTACAGCCATTTTACTTCCAATCCCAAAATACAACAAAAAATATGCCACCTACCCCCCTGCCAACCCTCAAGACTCCACACTATCTAACCACCAYAAAATACTACCTGAGTTTGTTAGTAATGAGAATGGCAAAAAGTTGCTGAGGAAAAAAGGTAGGAAGTTTAATAAATTTTAGAATTTTTTTATGCTGTGGTTTTGGAGTCAGTTTAAGCCAGCATAAATCACCACTGAAATGTCTGTMTATTCTCAACACAGCAGTATCTTCCTCCTCAACTTGGCATATCAGAGTTAATAGGGAACAGGAAAATAATCTGGATGAAAATAAATCCTTTACAACATGTTAACATTTATCCCAGATTAATTCTCTGATCCCTTCTGCTTTGATGATGTATACACCATGTCTTGATACACCATGAAAAAGAAACAAAATTAACTTGCTGCAGGTAAGGAAAGTATATTACTGTTTTCAGAACCATGCTAGCTCACTCTGACCGTGAAACTACGACATGGATGGGAGCTAAAGGACAGCAAAAAATATAGAGCATTTTCTTTTAAAATTTTTCAAGCACTCTAAACTTTAATAGTGCCATCATTAAGTAAYGATTTAATATTAAATTTGCATTTTTGAAAACATTCAGTGAACATGTATCTGAAAACAAAACACAATGAAATAAAACGCTTCATTCCAATGCTTTGTTGCATGAACAGAATTTTGATTATTTTCTTTTTTTTCCCCCCAACACATACTAAATACCTTTGGGTACCCTTCTCCTGTGTCTGAAAATRTTCTCAGAAATGTGTATCAAGGTACACACAGATGTGTCTGTTCATTAATGAACACAATATACCCACCTGGCTCAATAGCAGCAGATATAAAAGACTGGGCTTCCCTTACTCTCTTCATCACTTCTTCCAGCTCCTTAGCAGCAGCTTGTGGCGTCATTTCAGGAGGCTTCACTATTGCATTATTGGAGTGATTTATTCTAAATTAAGGAAAAACGAAAACCTTTCATTCTTTAGCACTTGAACTGGGCAAATGAAAAACAAGTAAGGAAGGAAAACATCTCAACTTCCATGTACAWTTGGAAACTTAAAAGTCCAGCAAAACTTCACATTTGTAACACTCACCTGGTTCCAAGTACCCAAAGTATCTTCTATTAAAGTCTTACCACTTTTAAATAAAAATAGCACGATATTTCTGTGTTACAGTATTTTTAGAGAAGTTTAAGAAGTTATTTCTCTATTTCCATTTCCAAACCTCTACATTAATACCTACTAACTACATAGACATGATACAGAAAACTTAATTAGTACTATGGACTTCAAGGATTCTTTCACTGTTACAGCTTTAACTACCTCAAGATTTATATAAATGTATGGGACCCAAGGCTMTACATATTCTCCTAAGAGAAATTTCTGTCAAATCATGAAACTGGAGCTGACAAAGATGTTCAGGTTTATTAACAAGAGGTCCTCATGCTGAAAAAACATCAGTCACAGCATTTTCCTACATGCAAGTCATAAAAGTATAAACAATAATTCAGRGAAATCACTCATTCAACAGTAATACAGATAATCAATTTCTTACTTCAGTGGCCGGTCTCCAAACATAACTCCATTAAAGGCAAGAGCTCGAGGTACAGAATTTTGGTCTGCAAATTCCACAAAAGCAAATCGTGTTGGTTGCGTCTCATCACCAGCCATTCGCACAAATTTGACTTCTCCAACTTGCTTAAAGAATTCAAGCAGCTGATCTGCTGTTGTAGTCTAGAAAGAGTTGAAGAGCTCAGCTGAAGTAAAATATACAATGAAAACTACTTCTCAAGAATATTCTCCAATTTTATATAGTGCAGCCACAAGCCCTTAGTCCTTCACCTAGGTATAGAAATTTTACATGGGCTTTGCACTTATCAGGTAACAAATCTGAAAAAAACTGGTAAGAAATTTCCTTATMCTAACTGTTTCCAAGCTACTGACTGAAACTTTTCATCAATTAAAACAAAAAATCCTAACAATATTGAAAAACTTAGATTTAGCTGGCTCTCTACTACCTACCAGTTTGTTTCATTTTATCAYGATCAATAGTACTTTTACACTTAGTAGCTATTTCAGCAGTCAAAAAAACCAAAGTGTAATACTTATACTGCTATCAGTCAAAAGYAAGTATTTTTAAACTAATCCAATCACATGTTGAAAAACAACCTGCTGACTGAAAACACTTATGCAAATTTCGCAACTTCCAGTAGGACACATCATTCCATCTTACTGTACCTAAGCAACTGGACTGTGCTGTGGGGGACAGCTATCATGATCTCATGACTTCTGAGGATTGCTCATCTAAYAAAATACACCTGTACATTTAATCAACACACAAAATCAGAAGTATTGGCTACAGTGGATTTCTATGGTCTTCTGACAAAGCCTGGTCTGACCTGACTGGCACACGAGCATTCAAAATTCAAAACATCACRAATAAGCAAAAAAATTTAGGGGTTTTGTTTAAATTCATGCTGTCCTTAACTAATGGAAACTCTTTAATATGTAAGATTAAAATTAATAAATTACATTTTCACTGCTTCCATTAATAKTTCCACAACACACAAATGAAAAAACCTACCTGGGAATTCAAGTTTCCAACATAGACTGTCCTCCTGATTTCATCAATTTTAGATGGATCCACATTTCCCATAATAGGTGGTTGCGGTATTTCTCCCAGTGCCGTGATGTTAGGGTCCAATGCTGCTGCTGGGATAGCCCCTAAAGTACCAAGTGAAACACCAAGCTGGAAAACACAAGCACAGAATACACTCTGCAGTCAAGCACCGGCGAAATGTATTTCACTTCTTAATACTTGTTTGCCTTGATGCACTTCTGCAAAAATAGGTCTAATGAATATAAGCAATACTTGAACGTTTAAGGTCACAATGCAGCAGGTTTTTTTACAGAAGAAAAATCTACCCAGAAGATTAAGCTTCCGTTGTTAAGATACTCTGTGGGTCATTAGTTAACATCTAATCAAAGAGACATGGGCAGAAACACATATTCATCACAAAACATAAAGGCTCTAATGCTTCTAGTCAACCAAACTGAGTAAGATACTTTCAGACTGCTAGTATTTTTTTTTTTTTTGAAACAAGTATTTGGACTAGATAAGGAGCAGCTGAGACCATGCTCAGCAAGGAAAGAAGAGAATTTCCAATGCTCAGGGTCATCAAAGGGACAGATAAGGCATCTTCTGGACACATGAATTACCCAAGACAAGATTCACTGCGAAGAACTGCAGCTGAAATGCAAAGAATATTTAGYCTAAGTTCTTCCCCTCATTCCTAGAGAATGAGAAAAATACAGCTCTTATGTCTGGAACCGGAAATTGAAATCTCTCCTGTAACATGTTATAAAAAAAAATCACTTAAAAATTACTACAAAATTGGTCCACTGAGCTCCTGGTTTGAATTTTCTCTACCCAAAAAGCAACCACCTTTCTAAGAAATGAACTTTCGAAGAAGTGTGGGAAATTCGTAACCAGCCATCAGTAATWTTTTATGCAAGAAAGGAAAACCTATTTGCTGATGTCAGAATTTGCTGATGTCAAGAACAGTTCACAGAGGCAAAAGGGAATAGACCAAAAAGAGCACAACCAAGCTCCTCCACTTTTTGTAGYGAAAACATTATTAGAAAAACTGTCAAAAATCTTGCCAGAGATATCAAGTAAAAGTGTCTACTTTTAATATTCTGAAGAATGGTGTCAATGTGGTAATTAAGTTTTAATTTTTTTTTTTGCCATGAATGGCACTGCCACTTGACCAAATTAATGGCCCTAGAGGATAGGACAGTAATTACAATGCATAACAACCAACACCAGTATTAACCAGCATTTTGGCAACCCATAATGTGAATGAAAAACTATGGCAAAGTAGCGCATGGTTATCTTCTAATTAATTCTCAGAAGAGTCACCACACGTAAACCCTCACTGCAACATCCAAGGACCACACAGTCCTTGTTCTCTAAACACAGATCACACTAGACAGAGGAAGTCAGAAATCAAAGAGCCACTGAATTTAACTTACTGTAGTCAAAGGTGTTGGTGTAGGTATAGGAAGCAACCCTGCACCAGGCATCAGACTTGTCATAGTAGGAGCAGGCGCCAACAGAGAGAGGGCTTTGGCTTCATCTGGTATTTTACCTGAAGAAGCAAATGAAAGCATTACACAGAGGTGGAACACTAGACAGATGTTACTCTTTCTATGATTTTACAGTTACCCTTGCATTTAAAAATGTAATAAATAACAATGAATCTATCTACCAGATCCTTACAAAGAAACAAATAACRTAAGTTTTTCCTTTTACCCTGCTCTATTAGGAAAAACAAAAGTGAGAAAAACTTCAAAGACTAGCAATCTCATTAATGGATTATTATTTTAAAAACTCAATAATGTATATAATTATTTAACACTTTGAGCTATGGGTCACCTGTACTGGAAACTTAACGTTCATGAACCAAACGATATCAAGCATGGACGCTTTCCCAGGGCGGTGTTTTCGCGGTGATCGAAAGTTGTTTTACACATGACAACCGTTCGTGTTGGCTGCATCACTAATAGCACACAGAACATCAGATACAGAAAAGAAGAACATTTTTTAAAGTTTAATCCCCAGAAATGGCAAATAACCAAACCAGTAAAAGAAAGAAAACAAAAAAAAACCCAAAAAAGGAAARAAACCAAAAAACAAAAAAACAAAGTATGTGCTGACTGAAATTTGTGATTTTCTTTATTCCTCTGGTACTACCTACTTAAAATGTAAAAATAAATAAAAATAAAACATAAAATAATAAACTACTGAACTACAGTGACTGCACACAATACATAGTACAAGTGAAGYTGAAGGTGGAAGAAGGAAGAGTAGAAAAAAACTTAAGATTTGTACTGTCTCACATTGTAGGTCACCTCTCTGAAACTGGTAAGTTAAYGCTAAATTTATTGAGAATGAAGCAAATCATAACTGAGCAGGCTAAGCAACTTATTTTCAAAAAATATGTATTTCCTGCTATTTCAACCTAATTATAATCCTCCTGTCATGCTAAAACTTTAACTAATAACTAATCTGAATTAAATGCATATTTCATTCAATGTTAGCCATGATTAAYAACTAAATGAAACAAAAAAATCTCCAAACAATTATGATTACAATGTACATTTTAAATTTGAAATGCAAAGGGATTAAAAGTACAACATTAACACTGAACTAAAAAACTACTGAAAAAAGTTCTTATCACCCTAGGTATCTATAATCTCCTCAAAATTACTGGCGTAAGTCTATATATGCTAACCAACTGAGCCCTTTGGTGTTAYCCCAAGGACCCTAATAAAGTAAATCCTCTTATTTAAACACTGTTTAAATATTCAAGTAATATATAAAAGCTGTGCCAGTGCTTTTATGTCTTGAATCAACCTGCATATGCTTCAAATACAAAATGTCTAAATTCAAAATTTAAAGATTAATATATATTCTTATCAAACAGGAAAATTTGAGCTAGGTTTCAAAACACTGTGCAGGTTTAATGATAAGAGTTCTAACTGACACCACAGAAAACATACTAATTGTAAAAATTAAAAGAAACAAGTGCTGCAGACCTGCTCTACAGATCTGCAGGAAAGCCTRGTTACAGCTGGTTATGACCAAAGGACAAAACAGATCTAAATGAAACTTAATTTATATGTAGTATGGGTGGAACAGAACAGATGAAATAACAGTACCCATTTTTTTAATGCTTCCTATTTACATTTATTTTATGTTAAATTTTGAGACACCTCGCTCCTTAACATGTAAGAAACCATTTTGCTAAGGGAGAAAAATAGGAAAATTATTAGCACTTAGGAGTTAACTGTGCAATAATGACTTCCAGGGCTTTTTWAAAAAAACATGCATGAATCTAAGCCACCATCACAATGTTCAGCACTCTTCACAGATCTGATTTTGAAGTGAGGCATGCAATGAAAGGTGTACCTGATTTGCCTGACTGCTCAAAAGTATCAGGTACTTCGCACACCCTGCCTAATATGTAGGCCTACTAACAGGCTTTTGAATACACAATTCCAGCAGATGTGCATGCAAATTAGGCATAGAATTATGTACCAGTTCTTCTGAAAATCGAAATATGCARGATTTTTCAAATGACTAATGAACCAGAACTTATCCTGAACAGTGAGCATYTTACATCTTTAACCAGATACTCATACAGGTTTCTATGGATCAAGATAYATGGCACAATTAAATCCAATGGCAGAAGTGGCTTTGGAAGTGGTGTTTTTGCATGGTAATTGAGATCCTTGGTCAGTAAYGTACATGAGTATATGCCTAATTTAAGTATGCACTTACATACAGCCATTTCGATACATGTTTATCCAGGTAAACTTAGAAAATGCTTAGCCATTTAACCCTTTTAAATAGGAATTGAGTTAGGCACATAATTAAGACAGACAATAAGTCAAGTCACAAAAGTGATTGAAGTAGAAGCCTAAACGTTAAGTATATGGGTCATAGCACTGAAATAATTGAAATTAATAATTTGCTGAAATGTTGTTCAAGAAATCCACTGAATATTTCAGGTAAGTTCACCATTACAGCAGCTCACAGGATGAACAGCATGCATTACTAAACTGTACAGTTTTCAGCATTATTTCCAGAATACTTTGGTCTTTCACAATGTAAAGTTCTATTTTAAATAATCAAGCTGGTCAGTTCCATACCACAAAAAAGAACTATTTATTTTGTTTTCAAGAATGAGAAAGGGTTATTTCTACACACAGAACCCTGAAAATCTGCCTATATATTACCTCTTCAGGATAACTTTTCCAGTTTTTTTAAGACCATGTCAACGTTTTAAAAAAATTCTACAAAACACTGTTGTTGAGTGGAAAAAATAATCTGCATTATCTTGAATATCTACCTCCATATGCTTCAAACAGTTTTGAAAAATAAACCAACAGATTTATTAATCCAAATAAACTTATGCATTAACACCTTTAAATTTTGCAGCTTTATCTTCATGACTGAATTTGTAAAGGGAATACAAGCCAAAAACTACAACAAAACATGCAGGTTATGACACAACAGATTAGGACAATCTGGTTTAAGAACAACACTCTCATTTTTAGAACATGGTATTTAAAATCTGAATAAGAATGAAGGAAGCAGTCAAAATAAATATGCCACATCTATACTACATCCTTAGACAGATTTCTTAGAAGCTCTKCTGCTTAATAAATTTCAGGTTCTGCAATCATTTATTTACTGATTTTTCCCTTTGCAAAAGAATCTGGAAGCAAATGTAAACAGTCACAGCACTGCCTAGAGACACAGCTGTGATTGTTACTTTTTTGTACTTTATCAGTCTTCAAGAGCCCTAGACAACCTAGTCCATACCAGAATCCATTTTGCTGAACACTAAACAGAACCATCTGCATTTAACTAATCACAATTTTTTTTATTCCTCAAGCACTCASAACAACTTCTTACTCTTTGTTGTGAACGTATAGGTTTAACCCTCATGACCAAAAGTGTTTCTACAATGAATTTGCTTGTTTTAAAAATACTCAAGAGTTCACAGCCTACTTTAAACATTAAAAAATCATTATTTTCCTGCAATTTTAAATTAATGGAACACTTAAAATGATACACTTAAAATTATTTCTATGCAATCCAACTCATGAATCTTAGTGGATTTAGCAAAAGTGAATAGAGAGTACAGCTACTGGCAATTATATCAACTGCCACAGCCAAATCAAACAAAGATCACAAATCAAAGCTCTTCCCAGCTGCAGAGCAGAGTCTGGTGAAAAGAGTAAAACCAAGAGACCCCAGTGCAGCTGTCTAGGAAGAGCAACGCCTAGGACTAGACCACTTTGTCCACCATTTCTGTTTCAGGGCTTCCATTTCACAAGAAGAAATAACATCAGTTAGCGATGAGGAACCATCTTAATCACTCCAGCATGAAGTGCCAGGGCTTCTGAGACTGGGATGACTGGAAAAACACTTCTTTTCCCTAACTGTTGTTGTTGGTTTTTTTAAACCTCTTCCTGAAATTATCACCACTGAAGCATGTCAAAGTGCAATACACATACACACACACACACACACACACACACACAGAGAGAGAGAGAGAACTGATTCAATCTTCCCACAAGTAACAGTGTTAAAAGACAATGTGTCTCACACAACACACTCCAACCAAAACTTCAGGCTGCATTTGTACTTATGAGTGGTCAACAGTTTTTTTCTCAAAATTACAAAAACAAAAGGATGAAATCTTACTGCCATTGACCTCACTGGAGCAAGATTTCATCAGAAGTAAACAAATATTTCATGACATTAAATATGCATAAGAGTTCAATTTCAGAAATAATTATTTTCATAGTAAGCCTTCATTTAAATAGCCAGTGCGACCTAAAATAAAACACTCTGCTGAGGAAAAGTAGCAGAGAAATATTATGACTTTATTTTCTAAAGTTGCTTTCTCCAGAAGAGCTTTAACTGTCCTTTTCCAAGATAAACTCAAAAAGCACAACATATAGAAGAATGTATATCAAAACTGATATATTTTTCACTATTCTTGTCCTTTGACACAATGTACTCATCTGTTGAATTTAGAAGCTTAAAAGCATTACAAATCAAATTTATCCTTAATTCAGAGCATTAAAAGCTAATCACATTCTAAATTCTCTGTATACCATCCACCATTCATAAGCAGCTTCAGGTCAACTTCAAAATCAAACACTGTGAACCCTTTACAAACATCATTTTTACAGAACTGAAGTACCAGTTCACAAGTACAAGGGAAAGAGATTTAACAGAACAAAACAAAAAAGGGACAAAATAAAATAAAAATAAAAGAAACAAAGGAAAGAAAGCAAAATAAAATAAAAACAGAGACAGGGCGTCCATCTTCAGCAGGCCAGACTTCGATCTCATTTCCCCCATGAAGATTTCACTTGTCGGCAGGTTTAGTGGCATGGCAAACAATGCCTAACTCAGGCAAGTGTAACAGGTCTGCCTTGGCCAGTCTAGTCATCTAATAATGCACAAATATCACACAGAGAAAACATATAAAACCAAATTAATAGTCAAAATCCATCTACCAGATAATGTGGACATAAAATTTAGAAAGGTTAGGGTGGCATCTTTGTTTATCTTTCAACCTTTGCATTTTCAAAGTATATTTAAAGAAAAACTTATGAATACACACACACAAAAAGTCYTATTTTGACAGCTTAATAATCTTATTTCATTTACAATTACATTTTTGCTAATTGTTCATTAAATGTCATATAATTTACATTGATTTCATTCTGTAACAATTTCCTCTTTGATTTACCACCATTTATTTTAAATACATTCCAAATTTCAGATTTCATTCTATTTTCTAAAACCRGGTTTTCAGAGTTCCATTTTACCTCTCATCTATGTTCAACATCATGCATGAAATATTTTATTACTGACAAYGCTGACCAATGGTGTAATTTTACCTCCTGGTAGGATAAAACCGTCACTAGGTTTCAAAACCCACTGATACATTAACAATGCATCATATGATACATAGTGAAAAAACCCTTGYGCCATGGTCTCCAAAGCCATACTTATTCCCACACAATAAATTCATCAGTAAGATAAATTTATATAAATTTTCATCTTTTTCAAGTGACTGATTCTGATCTAAAGTTACAGGGAACAGCATTCTGACATTAAAAAAAAAGTGACTTCAAAGCCCAATCACTTGTTCATTTAATTATGCATACATTACTGTGGAGTCCAGAATAATTCTGAACAGGGATGATACGTTTTCTCAAAAAAGGCCTGATGAGCCCCTTATAAATAGAGTTGGAACAAGGTTTGTCAGAACTTTGGTTTATTCACCTTTCATTCATTGTTTATCACAAAAGATACAGGAAAATGCAGCTTTACCTGCCTGTTGCCATATCATGTCAGGCAGTAATCTCATCACAAGAAAAACACAGGAAGTGTTGTTCACTCAATAGGCAGCCATCTTCCCTTTTTGGCAGTACTGAACCAGTGTTAAGATCTTATTGATGAAATATAAAACTAAGATTCTGTATAATCTTTAATCAATTTATTTAGGGAAATCCTTCAATTGGACATTCTGATACCCTTAGCCTCTACATAGTTTTAAGTGTATACAGCAAATATTCTCTTTGTGTACTGCAATATTCTCTTTGTAATTTAAGAACAAGATAAAAATASAAACCAAAAAGCCCCCAAAACAAGGCAATAAAGCAAACAAAAACCTAAGCTTTACAAAGAAAAATGTAGATGCTGTATGCCCTGCCTAAGAAGGCTACAAGAACAGACAGTATATTGTAGGTCAGTACRGCCTTTAGTGAAAGTACTTTTAGTTGCTGAAATTTTGGAGACTTCTCAGAGTTTGCCAAGAACATCCCAGGTAAGTATTACAGCAGCACTCATCTCACACTGTCTAGATCATGCTGTGGCAAACATGCCAAAAAATGGCACTCTGGGACCATTGTTAACAAACTGCAGGAAGTCAATGGTATTGTTTTGAACCAAAGCCTGACTCTTGCAGAGACCTGACTCCATAGACACGTTAATAAGTACTTCTTGATCTGAGCAGCTTATATTTAGTTATAGTTTGATCACTTTACGTATTGCTGCACATGGAAMGTTCAAAGTTAAGTCAGGTTTGCTCCTTCAGCTGGAATGATGCTACTCTAAAGAGGCAAAAGGTCCAGAACCAGTCATATGCTAAAATCCACAAGGATCCCAATGAAGTCAATGGGGCTCTGCCTAACCCCAATGATATGCCTACCATAGGACCCTGCTTYATGTAATTGTATTCAGACCTAGGATGCTATACTAACAATACAAACTGTCCTGAACTCAACATATGTGTAAAAGAATGGCCTCAGAGTTAGTTAAAAAACATTTGTCAACTTAGTATATGTCAAGTATTTTATTTCATTAAGAGTTTTAAGAACATTTTATGAGGGAAGTATTCTGGATAGATCACTGCGTACTTAAAGATATATCCAAAACAAAATAGGAATACCAGTATGTGTTTCATGGCACATGAACTAATATTTTCAACACTAAAAAGAAGGAAAAATTGGCTTTTAAAAATTAATCTAGTAGGTGAACGCACATATTCAAACAGTATTTTGAATGCTAAGTATTTTAGATTATGACTCTAAAATGGCCAAATGAATATAGCACATGTCTACAAGACAAAATTGGGATTCACTCAAAAAATGCAGAAATACTAAGTATCTTTAAAAAACCACAAATCAACAAAAAATCCACTACACCAAAGGTGATACATTAAGATTCAAAGTGCCTCAGGAAACTGCCTCATCTTTTCAGAGTTCCATTGACTTCAGTGAGGACTCTGTGTGCAAATATGCTTGCCAACACAAATCATAACGAAAGGAATTATTTTCCTTTATTTTCCCTTAAAGTATGTCATAACTACAGAAACATGAGTCATCATAACTTAAACCAACTATCTTTTTGATAATGCTAAATTTCAATTAAATACACATAACTGGGCTTTTCTTCATTCAATTTTCAATTTAGTTTCAAGGCCTTTYTTTTCAAAAAGCAGTAAAATAAAGTAATAACAGAGCATCACCTTCTTACATAGAAAGCTTACACGATTAACAGACATAACAAAGACCAACATTACAGAACAATGTCTAAAATACCAACCTTCTGCGCAGGGCACAACTATCAAAGCTCTGTCAATAAAAACCGTGTTAGTTAGATGCTGGGCCACACCAACACTCGACGCTTCACGAAACTTAATATAACATACTTTGGAGGAAAAAGCAAGAGGTGCGTTGCTGCAAGATAAAAGGGAAAAAAAACAATTAGTCATAATTGCATGCATGTATTTTTAACTATTACTCCTTACAATAGAAAAGGTTTCAGACTCCCTAGAGTATGAAAATCTAGAAGAGTATAGAAATCTACTAACTTGCCTTCTTACTGAATCAATGAAAAAAGCATGATGTAGCATCTCCTACTTTTATTTGAAAATTTACATACGCCAAAATCACTAACAAGGCTAATTTTCTTTTATAACCTGGTTACACAACATAGACAAGTACATTTCAAATTACTATTTTAAGGAGCATAATCAGAATAACCTAATAAAATTATTTTTCTTTAGAAAATGATCTTCATTTAGGAAAGTCAAACAACAAACCCTGACATGACTGGATAGAATAGCTTCTGAGCCAGCTGCAAGGTCTTGGTTGAGACCAGTTTCCAACATCAGAAGTGACAGCTAACTGTGACTTTTTCAGTACTCAACAGAAACCACAAAGACTTATATGGCCACAAGCAGTGGTTTGGTTTGTTGGGGGAGAGGAATCTAAGCGAAGAGAGGAGAGGGTGTCTTGGGGTTTTTTGTTGTCATTGTCAGGGGTTTGCTTGTTTCTTTTTAAATACACCTGTCAGTGTCATAATCCAAATGGCTGGAGCCTCTACTGAAGGCTCTTTGGTCCACACTGTTGAACACTTCTAATACCTCCTGGATTTTTCCCTTGTTTTCATTGCCAACTCTAGAACTCTAGAATTCTGTTCCAAGCAGTTTCAGACCCCACAACTATCCTTAAAAACTTTAACATCTATAGAGCCTGCAATGACAAGTGTGTTTTATTACAAGATTTACTCTCCTATATTCCCTAACTTAGAACACAAAGGCTATGCAGAAAATACGTTAAAAAACAATAAATATCTAAGGGTCTACAATGAGGGTCTACAAAGTATGAGGGTCTACAAAGGCATCTTGGTAACAAGAGTTTTCCAAATGTTTGGAAGAAGAAATTCTCCATAAAGAGACCACCTCTACTAAAAACACATCAAAGCCACAACTACATCACGGGAAAACATTAAGATCTGAGAGATCTAAGAAGGTTTATCAGTGCTGGAGTCCTCTCCTTTCAAGGCTGAAGTCAGCCTCCAAACTCTTCCCATCAGACTTAAGAAGCCTTTCCTAAACCAGTAAAGTCCTATTTCGTTTTAATTCCTTTTGTTGCCTTTTTTTTGCTAACCTTTGCCTAGGCTGAATTGAGGGATACTCACAACCTTTTTCATACGGTAACATAGCAGCAAAGTCAAAACACAACTCCTACATTTCTGATTCAAAGTTACTAAGAACCTAATTAAAACTTTTTAAAAAATTTTAAAGGAAATAAGTATCAAAATAGTATTTGGACATTTCTGACATTTTCATTTCCCCTTGTAGGAAGACAGCAACATTCACCTCCCAACAGAATAAAAATCAACCAAAATTATTCTATGAATGATCTACTCAGAAATCTACAGTAAAAAAAAAATCAAAGAAAAGTCTACAAAACATTTCTGTAACTGTCAAAATTTTCTCAGGTGGGGCAGTGGGGTGTGTGAGGTGTAGAGGATATGACAGAAATTAATAACTCGTTAAAATAGAATACAACTGAATAATTGTGCAGATCAGTTTAAATAAGGCTGTGTGTGTTTTGCCTCCGAGGCCTCACCTATATTGCTGTCACTGCAGGATGTAAAAATGTCCATTTACTGGACCACAGATGACGAGTCCATGCCCCTTTTCTCAGTTAAGTGAAGGTTGCCTATCCACCTCTGTCAGAACAGGTAAGGTATACSAGTGATTTGGGTGGCACCCCTCAATGCTAAAAGAAGCCTTGCCCAAATACTCTCATTCGTGTACAGAACACTTTTAGGCTCCAAACTAGATTAGGCCCCAAACCCCATGGCCAAGGTGCGGAATGGCTTCTATCCCCACCTCTCGATGCCTACTGGGTTGCAACCAGAGCAGACCTTCCTGAAGGCAGAACATAGAGGCCAATCCAATCTTTCCCTTGACTAGGGAAGGGTTATGACCAACTAACACATCACCCAATTTCTGGTTAAACCAAAAGTTTATTCTCAGTGTTTTAGCTTCCAAGACCACTCCAGACTATAAGCAAGCCACGTTACACAGCAGGTCTTGCTACACCAAATAGAGGCAGTTTGTGACTCCCTGCTTTCAAGTAACTCCTTCTGCAAAAACTCAGTTGTTGCTCAATAAAGTTTTTCAACATTTAACTGTTAAGTCCTCTTAAAGCCACATTTGAAGGCTCATCGACACAAATGTAATTCTGAAGGCTACTCTGAAACACAGACTTTAATCAGGTGACAAATGTATCCCACAAGCATGTCTGGGACTAGGAATCTGATTACAGGTGACAGCGGTCTCTTACTACAAGGAAAACCACCACTAGGCTGTGTTAGTGGCTGGCGTACTGGAGTACACACCCAAGGCAAAAGACCTGTCACACACAGCAAACTAGTTTCAGATTTTAACGGTACTGCTAACTGAAAGTGAGCTACTTTTTGTTTGGGACACCTTWGCTTCGCATCCACTTGTCAATGCAATATTATTTTCTGAATTTACCATCATGGTATTTAGGCAAGGAAATCCACACTTCTAATAGTTATGCATAAATAACTGTAAATAAAACTAAGTGTAGAATAGGTAATCACAATCCTGCATCCTATCCGTGAAAACCCAATTAATCTGCATTATAGCCTTGAGATTCCCAAGTCAATCCCTATTATGGTACTGGATTTTAGTATTTTATGTATACATACACCCTGACAAAAATGTACACATTGGTACAAACATTATTTGTATATCAATGTCAAGAAAGTATCCATTTCCCTTAAAAACCTGTTATATAACCCATTGAAAGATAAGAACAATAGCTGCACAAAAAAATTATATTAATTCAAGAGAAAACCCAAAGTATAAACTATGGAACAAGCCCAGGGCAAAACCCGGGAAAACTGTATAAACATCCACCACATAGCTATCAGCAAGGCTGTTTTAAAATTATCTTTACACGCTAAATTTCTTTTCCTGAATGGCTGGAATTCAAACATTCTCAGATGTAATGAAGCTACATAAAAACTGATAAACACTATCTTTTTGGCCAGTTTTTTGAATCTGAGTTTTGTGGAAATGAACATCTTCCTACTAAAATTCACGCATTGGGATCCTAGACTCCCACTCCTTTCCACTATTCCGATTCAATTTTTGCAAGACAAATATAAGATTTGAAAGAATATATTTGTTATTCACTTCCCAGTACAACTGCTACCTCGAGAAAAAAAAAAATTTCTTTTCCTCCTCTTTTCTACTGATCATCATCTACCCAGGAGAAGCAACACTGTTCCTCTGCGAGCCCCAGTATCTCCCATCTGAGTGCACCCCTCGCACGCTGCTGACACCATGCGAACCGCTATAACTTAGGGAGAGGTGTGAGGTCCATGAGTAATTTACTGCCTAAGTCCTCSGAGGACAAGGCAGAGCAGGTTCCTTTCCTCTGCAGAACCTCAGCTATTCTGGCTTCTATTGGACCCCTTATCGGAGCACAGCACCCTTCGAACAGAAGRGGGGAAAAAAAAAGAATAAAGGCAGTCGGGCGGGGCGGGCCAGGGCCCCCCCGGTCCAGCTCGCCAACACTCAGCTTGGACTAGGGGAGATGTGGGCATGGGAAAGCGGGTTCTCAGCCAAGAGGGAGAAGGGCCGGCGCCGCCATCTTAAGTGCGGGCGCAGCTCCTTCCTCGCCGCTCCGGCCATACAAAGGGGAGGGACCACGTGATGCCCGCCTGGTGCCCGCACTCAAAATGGCGCGCCTGGCCTCCTGCCTCTGCCCTTCCCGCTACTCCCCGGCCCCTCCGCGCCTCTTCCTCAACCCTCATCTCCGTCCCTACGGAGAGTGGCACGGGCCCCACTTACTCCGGAGGATAGAGTCGAAGCTCCTCGATATCTCCCAGGAAGCCGAAGAGCGTCCGCATCTGCTCGCTGGTCACGGCCGAGGAGAGGTTGGTGACCTGGATGACGGATGTCGGGCCCAGGGGGAAGCCCAGCGGGACCCCGATCCCGCCGCTGTTCATCATGGCGGCGTTGCCTGCCCGGGCTCACCGCGCGCACCCCGGGGTGCGAGCCCGCCCACCGAGAGAGGCGCGCGCCGCCGGCCTCAGCGGCCCCTCGGGCGGGCGCTCGGTCCGCTCGACTGCTCCCACAAGAGTTCTCGGGCAGGCGGGCGGCCTCTGCCGGCGGGGCCCCCCGCTCGCCCGCGGCGTGCAGGTCGCTGGCTTCTCTCGGAGCCGCTTGCCCGGGAGCCGACTCATATGGAGCCGGCAGGGCCGCTGTGCGCAGGGCGGGGCCGGTGCGGGGCCCTGGTCCCGCCCAGGAAGAGGCTGGGCCGTGAGGGGCCGCCGGCGCCCCGCGTTTGTGCGCGCGCCAACCCCATCGGCGGCTCGGGGCCTTCGGGGCCTGTGGAGGAAAATGAGATTTCTCGTTTAAGCGCGCGTTTGGTGACCGAGTTTAGCAAGAGTTTAACCACCCTAGGGAATGAACTTTTGAGAACACCCTGTGTCTGAACAGGAATGGGTTGTAAATGGTTCTGTYCTAGGTTGTTTGCGACTCTGTTAGAATGCAATTGGTCTTGCCTGCAGTTGTAGTTCAAATACTTAGAAATTAGATTGGCTGGAGAAGATGAGGCTGACCGCTTCGTGTGTGAGCGATCGCTACTTTGGATCAAATTATGGTCTTTCCTAGTAGTGGAACAGAGCTTTGCATCTTGGCAGTGAAAGGTTTAAGGTTTCAGATAGCTCGTAAGACTTTCCATTCACTGAGCTGAGAAAAGATTGAAGTATTTTTGAAGCTATCTGGGCTGAAAAATACTGCAAATTTGTGATAGTTCCCTGAGCAAGTAGGTCAGCTGTTACAGAATCTCCATAGATAAGTCTGGGTAGTGCTTCCTTTATTGATGCTCTATACRTTACAGAAATGTAAGTAACTCAAAGCAATTGTCAGACATGTATTTTATTTTAAAATGTTTATGAATATGTTTCAGGTAGGACTTAATTTAAAATGATTAGCAGTACACTCATATTCTCTTTCTAAATTAAATCCAGATTCCAGAAGTACAAGACTTAAATCCTTTCTTGTAGCCATTCTGGTAACTTCTAATTAGCTTAAATTGAGAGAAGTTTAACTGGAGCTTCTAGATATTTTGTTAAATATTGTGGAAAATGAATCTRATACTATTATTCTATATGCAGAAAACCTTCTATAAGGTTTTCTTCTGTTTTCACTAAAACATCTCTTCCCAAGGTGGTTAGCAGWGATGTAGATGATTTTAGTGCTTTGAATAAACTTATCCTTTCTCATTGCATCTCTTAGTGGAGAGTACCAAATAAAAATGAACTCTCAAATTCACAGAGAAAAGCTTTGTGATGTCAGAACTGACTGGGATAGCTTCCTTCGTGTAAAGCCTGTAACAGTACATGTGTAATTCTGAGCTACTGGTTTGCTCTCTGAAGACAAAGCAAGCAAAACATTGATTATATTTTGTAATTGTCAGTTCCTGCCACCAAATTAGCTTGGAAAATAAATAAATTTGTATTTCAAAAGAATAGGGGGAAAAAACAGTCCCAGATCCCCAAAAATCTAATGGTCAAAGCCTTGGGTCACACATGTTGCCACTAAAAGGCTGGAAGCAGACAATAAATATTTTAGTCAAATGGTTCAAAATTTAGAGATGTTGAAGGGCCAGTCCCCCTCATATAATAAAACCCCTCAGAACTATTGAGAAAGAAAAAGTAAATAAAAATGCTAGACATGAAAGAAATTGAATTGATGTACAAGCAGTGCCCAGACATCATCTCTCAAATCAATGGCTAATAGACCTTTATTAATACCTGAATCATTGCTGTAGGTCTACAGAAAACTTTAGCTGCRATCTAAGTGAATTAATATGTGTACAAGTTACTTTTCAATTTTGCCCACCTGTTTTTACTTGTTATTAAACGTATTTGTGCATGTAAATAAAGCTTCAGTAAATAAACTCTTTCATTTCACTTCCACCGTGCTTGTCAGGCTAACTAGCAAAACCCAAGGCATTCTGCAGGCTTTTTGGAGGTATTGGGCAAACGTCAGAATGCAAAATATTTGCTTTCCATTACAACTGCATACCTTTTCTGTTTTATTGATCAGCAGAGTTTTTTTCTTAAGAACTGTAAAATAATCTTCCCCTCAAACTGCATCACTCCCTCTTCTCATTAGATTCTGAAAAAGAGCACTGAAAAAGAACACAAGGTATGTTACCTCTACAGGGATTGTGGTTACCTGCATGCAAAATGATGAAATCTTTAAGTAAGAGTGACTGTTAACCTTTTGTCCAAGATTGTATTTTGTGATCTTGCCATGAGGATTAAAAAGCAATTACTGGGAAATGTTGATTGCAAGGTACCAGTGGAAAAATCTCGGCAATTCCAAARGAAGTTGCAATAAAAGTTAGTTTAGATGATCAGGAAAAAGTCTTTTTCATTTCAAGTGGATAGTGGGTGGTCGATAGAGGTGGAGATCTCTGTGATACTTGCTGCGCTTGCAGGGGGAGGGTATTGAAATAACGTGAGGTAAAAGAAAGAAGCATTACAAAGCTTTCATTAGCTTTCTTTAAATGGAAGCTTAAAGCCTTCAGAAAGAATGTTAGCCACAGAGATAACAATTATTTGATAAATATCAAATAATTCTAAATCTTAAGCAATTTTTGATAAGTAAAATTTAACTTCAGAATCAACCACTACTGCAGCACTTGTACAAACTTGCCTCTGGAAATCCAAAGCCCTTGAAACTACTGCGAAAATCTGCAGCAAAGAAGATGTATCCATGGCCAGGGAGAATCAGGATAAAGGAAGTGTTCACATGCAAGATCACAGGACATGATGGGGTGTTTCTGTGAGTGTTGAAGAATCTAACCAGTGTACTGTCAGACCACCTCCAATTATCTTTCARAGTCATAATGTTTGGGGAGGAGAATGTCACCACTAGATTGCAGATGGGCAAGAAGAAGCATTGGTAAAATTAGAGGCCAATCAGCCCCATGTCCCTGGGAAAGTGATGGAGCAAATCCCCCTGACAGCCGTTGTCAAATACGCCAAGAACAAGAAGAAAACTGGGAGTTGTGAGTRTGGATTTATAAAGCACAAACTGCCTGACCACCTGGTAGCCTTCTGGTGCCATGAAATGACTGGCTCATGAATGAGGAGAGAGCAGYGAATACTGTTTGTCTCTATTTTTCTTTACTCTTCTTTCTTCCTATTTTAAAGCAGTACTAGAATGCCACTAAAACCAATATATTTGTGTAGCCTGTGCTAATTAACTTTACATCACTTTCCTTATTGTATAACCAAAATGTCAGTCTTTTGTGTAGATTAGTGATGCAGAACACTGGAAACCAATTTCTCTTCTGCAGCATGGATGTTGCTTTTCTTGTGAATTGATCAAGAGGCATAATCTTCAAATGCCAGTCTCCTGCCAGTACAAACTGACTGCTGATAATACTCCTATTTTCTGTTTTTGCCTAGACATGTGTTCCAGATTCACAGACACATGTTCACACCTCAGATTAACTTGAACTAACGTTCAAATACAAATAGAACAGAAAATGTTAACTTTATAACATTTCACAGACAATAGATCTTATTCTAAACTCCAGCAGATGCACAGTGTGTCCCAAGYACAAGTTTTTTTCAACCCCTTTCCATTGTCATACCTTTCAGGTTTATCAGGTAACTGCTCTCATTTTTCTGTATGCCTTAGTATATTTTATGGAGTTTTTTAAAGAGGACTCATATAGAACAGAAAAACATATTACAGAAGACAAATTGTTAATTCTGTGTAGTAACCCTCAGTCCACTACATCCGTAATCCCAGAAATTCTATAAAATTATTCAAAAAGAAAGTAAAAGACCAATTTTACATATCTACCCAGAAAAATTATGAAAATACTTTTCATGGATAAAATTTCTAGAGTAGTAATTCTTTTCCCCAGGTGAAAGTTTTATCTAGAAATTTTCAAGTCCTGCCTATAATGAGATTAACAGATGAAGTCTACATGGTCAGTGTAAGCAGCTGAAACCAGTTTAAAATGTCTTGCCTCTGGATGGCAGTCAGCTGTACAAGCTAATATTAAACTGAAACAGCTTTGAGATTTCTGCTTATGGCAACACACGAAAAAATTTAGGATTGCAGTATTTAGCATAGCAGTATCCATTAGAAGAGTCACATTAGCAGCTCTAGGAGTGTGTTTCACATTGACATTCTCATTCTTCTCTTCATAAAATTGCTTGTATCAAAGATGGAGTAGTTTTTCTCAACTTAAAATTATTTTYAAACTTATCTCAAAATAAGATGAGGGAGTTACTGACAGCTTGAGATAGTATCATTACCTCTGAATCTCCAAGCATATATTAACAAAGGAGGAGTATTTCCACCATTTAGAAACTGGGAAGATGTACAAAAGCAGTTACAAGTTGAGAATCTTAATCTGAGAACAGATTCTGCATCCATTTATCATTTCTGGGCAGCATTTCTTCAGTCACTTGTGAAATCTAGAATCTCTTCTGCAGTCAAAACTACTTGGATTACAGAAGCATTTTTTCTTCAAAAGAGGATTTTAGAAAACTTTTTTAAAGCTGTATAAAAGTCTATATCTCAGTTGATAAACCAACAGTTTTATTATATACTTTTAATAACTGTGTAACTAAGTATGTGTAATGAAAGGAAATGTAAAAACTCAGCTTTTATTTTTTTTAATTAAATTGAGTGTCGTTTAGGAGATCTGCTACTTCCTGTTCTTCTGGCAGGACATACAGTTGGAAATGTTTGGGAAGGTGCCACTGGAGTGAAAAAAGTATCTTTTTTTGCTGTGAGGTTATCCTGYTGGGAATCACAGCATATAATTCTACATATTCTACAAGGGGAAGATATTTTTTAACCTCAAAAAGCTCTATGAACAAGGTTATTCAAAGGTATTGGATAGAAAATTACGGAATTCACTGGGACAAATTTCTTTTTCTTTCCAGACAGATTTTGTAGGAGGAGGGCAAGAAGTTTTCTTCATGGCATAAGCATATATAACCTTTATAATTGTGATGTTTGAAAACTCAGTGCAGATTAACATTTAGGTTTTATTTGAATGTGGTATAAAATAGACATTATTACAAAATAAAGTGAGTKCAATAAGTAGTAATGCTAAAAAGTTACTGGTGTCTTCAAATGTCTTCAAGTATGATTCAATCTGTAATASATTAACTACATTTACAAATAAATAAACCACCACACATTGCTTACTGCAGCTTCAGGAAATCACCCAGTGTATTTTCATA